GTAAGTGCTTGGCTATGGTACTTCCCCCGGAATGAAGTTACACCTGAAAATGCAAATATCACCGAGTTTCTTCAAGTAGTTTTTTTGTTTGTTAATCTGCACCAGCCAAACAAGCCGGTGCTTTTCGGAAAATCACAATGTGCGTTCTCAATTTTAGGTATGAACGTTCGGCGAAGAAACACCCCGAAGCTCTGCTCCCTCTTTGGGAACTACTAAATCAACTTGCATCGTGAGGCAAAACTAAAGGGGCGCAAGCACTAGGAAACAACACGGCAGCGGTAGGCGACGGAGTCTGTAGGTACCCAGGCATGTCGGTGGCGCATTTCGGAAGTGATGAAAGGGCGCTGCGTGACGCACGTGCACACTACGTATATATGTGTTCAAGTGGATACCTAGCTGCGTGACGCACGTGCACACTATGTATATATGTGTTCAAGTGGATACCTAGCAATATATTGGCTAATGTTTTCCAATATTTGCCAAATTATAGCTGGCATGATTTATCAAACAGAACAAAAGTGCCTTACATTAGAAGCTTAGCAGATTTGGCTCAATGGTCCCCCACTAGCTCACTCAATGTGATCTTCTATCACGTTGAAAGTACAATGCTGCAGCGTTCATTTAACGAAGGTCCTAAAGTTTTATGATGTGATAACCTTGCTATGCTGCATTCGACACACTCAGTACCTCAGAGAATTATTATACAAAAGTTTGATTACCATATAACGAGAAAATCTCAGTTTTAAGGTTGTGCCATACTTTCGAATGATCAGTTTCGAAAGTACTGTAGCAAGATTTTGCGTGACTGGTGCTTCGATACGTCTGTGCTTAAAAGGAATGAAGTTTTTGCAATGGCGCTGGCACACTTTGCCCCCATACCATGAACTTAAACCATGAACATACCATCTTGCTCGATTGTATGTTCATTTAAACAATTTTAAATGTCTCTGCTGACTACTGGTAAATGAGAAGAAATTCCTGGACACATTAAAAAAATTATTGTTGCTCCTAACCTTAATACAATTCCAATATATTGCCATTAGCAGATTATTCCTACAAAGTCATGAAAGTGAAGCTGTCTGTAAACGTATTTTGATAATGACATCTCGGCATATTTGAGGTCTTCGGCCAAACCCCAAGGTTCAAGCATTGTTGCGTTCTGCAAGAATTATTAGTTTTCTGAAAGCTGAAGCTGACATTTCATAAAACGGAATGTAAAAATTTTCCAGTGGTTGCTTTACCAAGCACCTTGCCAAAAGTTGAAAAAAATTTGTTGACAGCAATACTGCTGCTAAAGCTTGTACAAGAGCAAAAGCATATTTAGGCATTGTTGCTTGTGAGACCGTCGTTGACAGAAGTAGCGCAGGATAATCGAAGGCTATTTTGTAGAAATGGAGACATAGTTTGGAGTACTAAAACGTTGTGAGCCTTCGTTGCGCTCTATGCAGAAAAGTTCTGATGTCCTTTGAGAATGCGGTAAAAAGCGTATATACAACATATAAACGCTAGTTTTGCTATGCTATCAAGATTAGTTCAAGCTGCCTAGTACTAAAACAAAAGCAAGAATCGATGAAAGGGTGCAGTCTTTTTCATATTCATGAATAAATAACAGCCAGTAAAGATTTGTAAATAATTAATTGACACAGTTATAAACGGTGCAAAAAAAAAAAACCACACATGAAACACAGATAAAGAAAACCACACAGACACGGGGGGTTAATTGACAGCCTAATAGTTGCAACTTAACTAAATGCCATTCGCATCTAAATGCCTAAACAGCATCAATACACGTAACTGCACCTTTTATGAAATGATACTAATGCTATTTTCGGGAGTATAATGTCTCTGCCTGTATGTACACATACAACGACATATGTATGTAAGCCAACAAGAAAATAAACAAATGTTGTTATTAGTCGGGGTTCTTGTGGAGAATTCTCTCGAATAACTCGACAGCGTTAAAGTTTTCGCAGGAAAAAACTTTGGACAACCGCCAGCACAAAATCGAAACAGTAGAAACGCTGCCTTCATAGGAGAACAAGCTGTTGGATGACTTTTCGGTACATGACCAAGAAAAGGAACGCAAAATAGCTTGAGACAAGATGAAGAAGGCCCACAGAACAAATGCGACTTCTTTTCCAGTTGCCACCCGAGTGTTTCACTGCGCTACAAACATTCACAGTGATTTTAATTTTTTTTGTTTTACACAGGCCATTTAAAAGCAGTATTAAGATGCTTCTGTGTAAATAGTAAAAGTGAAAATTGGCATGCTCTGCAGTTAACATTAAAGCTACATTAAAATATTTCGCTGCTGGCTACACGTGCAAAAAGCAGTCAGCCGAATACAACACACAACACACGCAGTCACGTTGCAGGGCGTGGAAGAGTGAAAATAGAGATGGAAGTAATATGTGCGCAACTCTTCTTCTAACGTATCCAACATTCTTCACCAAGTGGCGCAATTTTCTGGCGTTCATCAAGCCAGTGCTCCGTTCAAAACGCAGCTTTGACATCCAGCGCAATACCACACTTAAAAACGTGTTTATACTTCATCTCATACAGCAGGTGTAACATCGTGGAAGCTACACATGAAGTCAGCAAGATACATAATTTTGTATGTCTTTTGTTTGGATTTCATTGTGATAAATGAGGCTGCAGTCATTGACTCCAAATGTGCCCTGCTAAAACTAACCGTGGAAGGGGGGGGGGGGGGTGGAGGTATGTGATCCAGAACAATCTATTGGCAGCCTCGCTAGCTTCCATAGTGCTTCATCTCACTTACGAAACCAAGTACAGTAAACAGTACTCCAGTACGTTATGTTACCGTGACAGCCAGGGCTAGGTTGGCAAAAGAGCATGCACTAAAGGCATATGCGAAAGCCACGTCCGGAAAGCACGTGCCTTCTTCCACCGGAACTCCTGCCGGTACCAACAACTGTATCAGCAACCGTCCTAAGATGCGATGTACAAGAGCGGAATCCCCGCTGCGGACTTTGCAGCACCCCTCCGCAACAACACCTAAGCCAGGTGAAATTCTCTTGTGTTCTCTTCACACAAGAACATGCTTAGGGAATTCTCTGTAACTTTTTCCGCTCTACTCTGAATCAAGCCCGCAACATGACAAATATATCTGCCTCAATTCGGGAAACAGGGACACACGGAACTGGTCATTTAGTACACGGAGCCTCAACACGCGAACATTAGCACACAGAACTGTTCCTTTGGTAAACAGCAACAGGAACTTCATGTACGACTATACCTGCGGAAGCATGAACAAGATCACCAGTGAACAGTTGATTAACAATACTGGTTCACAACACACACTACCATATACCATGGGCAACGAGCACAATCAGTGAGGCTTATCTCTTAAAAAATAATCAAGCAAAAGCCTCAAATAAAGCTTATAATGAATACATACAATAAAAAATTTCACTGAGGATGCATTGGAGGTATGCGAGTACTGGCATTACAACCATGACGAGGGTCTCATCATGACCAAGAAGTCCAGCTTCATGAAAAGCGTTTTCAACAGGGTATATTTAGTTGTATACACAATCAATAAATCAGTTATAACACAATAATGAACATTAATGGTATAAGAGAAGCCGCAACTACAATCTAGGTTGCTTTTAGGGGAGATGCTATTCGAAAATTGAGTTGTTTTTCCAAATTTACATATGTGTTTCTTTTCTTCTTTACTCGTTTTATCAAGATTGGTATTTACACTTTAATTAAATAAAAAGAATGAAATAAAAAAACTAAAAACTAAGAAAAATTGCTGTATTTAACTCTTTACTTTTTACAGCTGGCAATCCGTTGGAATGATGGCAAACAAAAAACTTTGACCGGCGAACCGGTGGCCGCTGAGAAAAAAGTTTTTGAGAATGTCTCATAGATGGCAGCAAAGAATTTGATATTTGCCGTTTGCTTAATATGTTCTCTGCTAAATAGAAATAGTTGTCCACTGTTGGAGCTGTTTGTAAATGCATGTTTTTTAGCGGCGACAAATGCACGTTTCTGGCTTTTTTTTTTTTTTTTTGAAACATAGCGTCAAGCAACAAACCTGCCTGTCCAGGCCTCGCCGATACAGCTACAAGTACAGAGTGGATCCACGTTCCTCGTCAGATCCTGCCAAACAAAATAAAAAAAGAATCCCTCAAGTTTGCAAGGCACACGGCGAAAAGCCGGAGAGTCAATGGACTTAAAAAAAATGCGAAGTTGCTCTTCGCATGCTGGTGTGCTTAAATATTTTTTTTTTTTACACATGAAAATCGTACTGGAACAGTTGATACAGTAAAGCATTGCTAACAGAATAAAACAAAAATGATCTTTCGATCTTAATTTTTGTGGATTTTCGTCTCAATTTATATCCACGAACTCCTGCCACTCGGAGGCATGAAAAATTTTTTCCGGAATGAATATCAGGCAAGAACAGCTGCAGAGAGTGCGGAAGAGAAGGGGTTCGAACCAAAGTTGGATCAAACGACTTTCAAAGGACACAATGTGGCTATCAAAAACTAAAAATAGCTCGTTCTCTGGATACCCCGCAGAAATGTCACTTGGCTGCTTGCCATTTCATTTCACATGAGGAGATCACTAAGGCCATATGCTCAAAATAACCGTGATTATCGAGCTCTCACGATGGAAGAAATAACTTGAAAAAGCATACCTTTGCCACATAGATGAGCTCTCATTTGTACCTCTAAGATGTTTTTTTTTTTACCTTTAAAATTCAGTGGGCAAGGTGCAGAGTTTAGACATCATGTTTTAGGTATTTCTGATGGCCAGGTCACAACAAAACTTTTTCGGCACATTACTTAACATCTGAACAGTGCATATATCTTTGAAAACCTGATATCACTTATGTAAGTATTACCAACTTAAAGTAGGCAATCAGTATTGGCTGAGCATTTTAAGACTTCTGATATTATAAACTTTCTTGTTCATTAAAATGTCTTATATACACATTCTAGAAAGTTATTTGCATTCTACAGTTAATGTGGAGTAACATAGACCACTAACGGCTCATAATCATAAGTCTAATGAAAGAAAAATGCGTCTAAAAAGAGCTATATTTTATACATTGTCATGGTACAAGAAAAAAACTGCAACTGATTACATACTATCATCATAAAAACTATGTAAATAGATAAAACTTAATTGCCCTAAGCTACAGATTAAAAACTTTTTTTCCAAGTAGCATCTCTCCTTAAGTACCCAAACATAAAACCATCGACCAACTCGCCGTAGTCCGAACCTACAATGCAATGTTAGTTATTTCACTAAATTTGGCGATGCCTTAATTATTTGAAAACAGAACTGCCCTTTTCGACTTAGTGCCCCTCCTCGTCACGCGAATCCGCTAAACACTGTATGAGAGCTTAAGCAAGCCCCAAAAAGCAACGCTGCAACAGTCGTACATGAATTAGCTAACAGCATACGCAAGAAGCATCTCTGACGATAGAATACCTGCATTGTCTTTTTATCTTCATCTCGATGCAGCTTTAGTTGCCCTCTTCTGCCGATATTGCATCTATTTAAACTTGCAGAGTTTTCAGTTCTCGTAAACCGCACGGTTTTCGTCAGTGTTGGCAACATGGTGATCAGCAGATTTCAATAGAAATCTTCGCACGCTGCACCGATGATTTCCAACGTGCTGCAGGAACTGCCCAGTGCAACCACTTCTGGCAGTAGTTAGTGGTATTTTATACGAACACATTTCAGTTTACGCGCCAAAATTTTAGCCGAAAAGTCTACCTTAAAACAAATCACAGCAATAAAAGGCTAGTATCGTCTGACCCCCTCGCCCATTATTTCACTATCACCATAGCCAAGAATTTCTAACTTGTGCGCTCTGTTATAATGAACAAACTTTTTGCTAAGACGATTGCATATTATGTTCACAACCGACTGTAGCAAGAAAAGAAAAAATATTCCTTTGAGCAACCAAAGAAAAATGTGACAATACACAGAGATGCGGCACATCGAAACTCTTAAAGTGAGGTGCAACAAAGTAATAAATACATCAATAAAATAAAATACTTCTCTGAAAAAAAAAAAAAAAGCTTGTGAGCTCATCGAGGGATGCGGTCTCTCAGGAATTCCAGCAGAGCTGGGGTGCCCTTGGAAAGTATGGCTGGCCGTGGATTACGGAATGGATTCCCTTCCAACTGCAGAGATCTGCAGAAAAGGGAAAAAATCAGACATGAAGGCGGCTCAGGATGAATTTTCAAGTGGCTTCTAGTGCTGGATGCAGCAGAAGGTTCTAATCTGAACCTTTCTTCTTTTGGCCATAATGAGGTCAGAAGTTCAAGTAACTATACGCTCAGGTCCTTCAAGGGGTGCAACAGCGAAAATATAATTTGAAACAGTTTTTGAATCAGCAAAACGTTACTTTTGGAACACAAAAATATAAATTTGGAGCACGTTATGAGGAACAAAATATTCATTTTTTATCACCAAATTTGAAGACCAAATTTGAAGCAGTATGAAAAATAAGTCTTACATTTTGAAAAAAAAAAATATGTACGAATCATTTAACATGCCCTAAATCGTGCAGTGCGAGTAAGAGCACTGTTATTTCAATAAAATTAGTATTATGAACCACCTCACAAAGCAAATAATTATATCGTCCACAGTAGCATTTGCCGCACTTGACTGTGAATTCAAATGTAGATCTGCCAAGCTGGCGACCTCTGAAGTCAGGGGTTCGTAGGGGTATCGAAGAAATAAAAACTGGCATACAGTACTTTTTAGGGCATCGAAAATGCATACACTGCTCCAAATAATTGCCAGTAACTTTTTCAGACGTCATCGATCCTACTAGTGCTCACAATTATGCACCATATACACGCATTAGTAGTAGGACAAAATGTGCTATGTCCCGTGGTTAATAATAACAGCCCCGTCAAATTGATGATATATGGTGTTTTTTTGGCGCAAGGGCCATTTGTTGGCTAAAGAGCGCCATTTCATCTTACTAAAAATATGGACAATGATTGTGATAAGCGGCTGTATAAGGGCCATAAAATTCCTCGCGATAAGGCGGGTAAGAACATACAAGTAATAAAATGATGACCATGCCGTGAAAGATGTGTATGGTGTGAATGATGAAAAAAGTTGGTGATAATAAGACGATGGTGGATATGTATGGCATTAGCACAAGTGCCTCACTCGTTCATACCCTTGCGTCTAAGGGCCGTGAGGCAAGTGCTTTCTTGTGTAACCTCCGCAGCAAAAACCTCTCTAGAGAGGTCGTGCTACGGAATGCCCGGGTATATGATATGAAAATTATGAATTTCTTTTAAAAACGCTAACAATGATTTATGACTAAAAAGCGGTTCCCTACCGACGAACTTTGCAGGGTGTAAAGGTATATGCTGTAGGTAGGGTAATGGAAAATGTCGTTTTCTTAGAGTTTCTAAGTGTTTGCATTGGATTAACATGTGAAGGACTGTCAATGCTTCACCACATCTGTCACACAATGGTGGATCGCCACCAGACAAAAGATATGTGTGTGTCGTGTATGTGTGTCCTATCCTGAGTCTCGTTAGTATTACCTCTGTATGACGCGATTTCGATACGGGCAGCCAATGACCAAGGTGTGGCTTAATAACGTGTAGTTTGTTTTGTGTGTGTGTATCCCACTTGCTCTGCCAGTATACCCTGAGGTTTCGTTTGAGAGACGGCTTAAGATCAAGGGCCGGAATTGATATGGGTGTAGGGGCAGTGCTTTTGTGGACGGATGCAGCGAGCTGATCCGCCCTCACGTTGCCTTGAATCTCACGGTGCCCTGGCACCCAGCACACTACAACATGTTGGTTGTGTGTGTAGAGTGTGCATAAAATGGAGTAAAGTGAAACGATGACAGGGTTTTTTTTGTTTTTTAAGACTGTGCAGAGCCGTTACCACACTGAGGGAGTCTGTATAAATTACTGCTTTTTGTATTTGTGATTGTTTGATGTGTTTAGCTGCCACAAGTATCGCGTAAGCTTCCGCTGTGAAGATACTTGTGCCTGGATGTAGAGGGCGAGCATCCGAAAAGGAAGGGCCAACAGCAGCGTAGGACACAGAGGAGTTAGACTTAGAGGCATCTGTAAAAAACTCAGGACGTGTGTATTTGTGTTGAATTTCCAAGAAGTATGTTCGAATATGGGCAATAGGCGCATGTTTAGTAACTTCTAGGAAAAACACATCACAATCTATAGTCTGCCACTGCCACGGTGGCGGGTACGCTACAGGAGCCATTAAACTGTGTTCGAGTGACACTCCAGTGTCCTCAGCTAGACCCTTCTGGCGAACTGAGAAGGGCTGCCTCATTTAAGGCCTGTTTTGATAAAGAATGGAGCTCGACAAGTCATTAATAGTAGAGTATGAGGGGTGCCTCTTGTCTGCTTTCGCCTTAAGGAAATATACAAAGGACATGTAGGTTCTTTGCAGATGAAGCGACCACTCATTTGACTCAACGTAAAGGCTTTCTACGGAGCTGGTGCGAAAAGCACCCGTAGAAAGGCAAATGCCCGAATGGTGCACGGGATCCAACATCTTCAAAGCACTATGAGTCGCAGACTGATAAACAATGGCCCCATAATCTAAGCGGGTGCGAATAAGGCAGGTTCATGAGGCATTTCCTGTCACTACCCCACGTACTACGTGATAACACTTTTATAACATTCAAGGCTTTTAAACATTTTGTTTTTAAATACTTTATGTGGGTTACGAAGGTCAACTTGTTGTCAAAGATTAAGCCTAAGAATTTATGCTCGGCTTTGACGGACAGACGTTGCCCGTTCAGTTGAATGTCAGGTTCCGAGTGCATGCCTCTCTTTCGAGAGAACAAGACACACGTGCTTTTTTGTGGGTTAAGTCGAAATCCGTTTTCATCTGCCCATTTGGAGGCCTTATTTAAACCCAGCTGTACCTGCCGCTCACATATGGCCAAGTTGCATGACTTGAAGCCAAGCTGAACGTCGTCGACATATGTACAATAGAACATATTGTGGGGAATGGACAAGTGCAAAGAATTCATTTTAATAATAAAAAGTGTGCAACTAAGCACACCACCTTGTGGCACGCCTGTTTCCTGGACAAATGTTTGGGAGAGCACACTGCCCAGACGGACACGGAATGTCCGGTTTGACAGGTAACTTTCGATTATATGAAACATTCTTCCGCGCACACCAAGGTGGGACAGGTCTCTTAGAATTCCGAAACGCCATGTTGTATCATAAGCCTTTTCGATATCGAGGAACACAGAGAGAAAATATTGTTTATGGACGAAGGCGTCTCTGATCTGTGCCTCGATACGAACAAGGTGGTCTGTGGTGGATCTACTTTCTCGAAACCCGCACTGAAATGGGTCGAGCAAATTATTTGTTTCAAGAAAATGTACAAGTCGGCAGTTTATCATTTTTTCGAAGACTTTGCACAAGCAGCTTGTAAGTGCTATAGGCCTATAACTCGAGGGTAAAGAAGAGTCCTTGCCCTCTTTCAAAATGGGAATAACAATAGCCTCTTTCCAGGAGGTAGGAATAGTGCCAGAAGACCAAATAGCAATGTACAAACAAAGTAAGGTTTTTCGGGTTTTGTTTGGTAGGTTTTTTAACATTTCATACATCACACGGTCAGAACCTGGGGCAGAAGTACTGCAGGAGTTTAGAGATGTTCGGAGCTCAGCTAGACTGAAAGCTTGGTTATATGCCTCGTATCTGGTGGATTTGTGTTCGAGTTTCTGCTTGTCTATTCTTGTTCTGTATTTTTGGAAAGTGTCAGTATAGTGGGACGAGCTAGATACCCGTTCAAAGTGTGCGCCTGATCTTCCAAGGTATCACCCTGAGTGTTTACGAGTGGGAGTGAGTGTACTTTTCTTCCTGCTACCCTACGAACCATGTCTCAGACTTTGGCCTCTTGTGTATACGAATTTATTCCTGATAAAAATTTGTGCCAACTTTCTCTTCTGGCCTGCCGACGCGTTCTCCTGCCTCGAGATTTTATTTTCTTAAAGCTCTCAAGGTTTTCCGCTGTTGGCGAGTTCCGCAGCAATCTCCATGCCCTGTTCTGTTCCTTTCGCGCATTACGACACTCCGTGTTCCACCATGGGACGTGTCATTTGCCGGGCATTCCAGATGTTTGCGGTATGCACCTGGCTGCTGCGTCAGTTAGAAAAGCTGTGAAATACTGCACAGCTTCATCTATGTTTAACCTACATATGTCTGTCCAACTCAAACGTGTAGTGTTATGGAACTGTTCCCAGTCTGCTTTGTTTATCAGCCATTTGGGAACGTGTAGAGGACCTTCATATGTTGTTTGTGAACTCAGCACTACAGGAAAATGGTCACTACCATATAGATTATTTAAGGTTTTTCATTTGAGTAGGGGTAGGAGTGAAGGTGATACGATGCTGAGGTCGATAGACGAGTAAGTTTTGTTGGCAACGTTATAGTATGTTGGCTCTTTCCTATTCAACAAACAGGCACCGGAAGAGAAGAGAAATTATTCAATGAGACGACCTCGTGCATCAGAGCGAGAATCGTCCCACAGTCCATTATGTGCATTTAGGTCCCCAAGAAGCAAATAGGGTTCAGGCAGTTCTTCTATTAAAGACTGAAATTCACGTCTTTCAAGACGGTGGTGGGGAGGTACATACAAAGAGCAGATGGTGACGAGTTTGTTTAAAAGTACCGCTCGAACAGCCACCGCCTCAAGGGATGTCTGGAGTGGTAAATGTGTACACGCTACTCCTTGGTTAATAATAATGGCTACGCCACCGGATGATGCCACAGCATCATCTCGGTCCTTTCGGTATATGACGTAAGCACGTAAAAAATTTGTATTGGAGGATTTCAGATGTGTTTCCTGTACACACAGCACTTGAGGTGAGTGTTTGTATAAAAGCTCTTGGACGTCGTCGAGGTTTTTAAGCAGGCCTCTGACGTTCCAATGTATAATTTGTGTTTCCATATTGGAAGTAAAGTAGTGCTGTGTGTACGTTAAGGGAGTGACTTGTTTAAGCTGAAAGGTCGAGCTCAAGTAGCAGGGCTATTATCAGGCCCTGTTATGAGCTTTTTAGTTTTCTTGGCGCGCTCCAGAGAGCCGCGCCGCTCTTTTGGAACCAGGGGTGCCGCCGTATCTATTGCCTCCTCGGAGGCACTGAATGCCCGCTCATGCGAGCTGGTTTTTCGAAGCTTGGGCCTCGCCTGGCAAGGTGAGGCCTTAAGACCCGAGGACCCTGGAGTCCCTGGTCTCTGTTCGATAGTAGGCGGAGTAGACTCAACTACTGCCGCCTTGGGGGCAGGCGCCACAGCCAATGGCTCGCTCTGCGCAGGCCGAAGGAGTGGCGAGGGCTGGTGCGACACTGCCCCCTGGCGCGCCGCATCAGCATATGTGGGGCCATAAAATGGCGAGACTCTTTTTCTTGCTTCTTTAAATGTAATGTTTTCTTTTATTTTTAAAGTGATGATCTCTTTTTCTTTTTTCCAGAAAGAACAGGAACGTGAGTATGCGGCATGACTACCGCCACAATTCACACAGTGTGCAGGTGCTTCGCAGTTGTCGGACGCATGGCCCACGACTCCACACAGAGCACAAGTTTTCTGGCCACGACAGCTTTGCGAGCCGCGGCCATATCTCTGACATTGGAAGCAACGGCGGGGGTTGGGGATATATGGCCTCACAGATGTCTTTGTATACCCAGTCTGAATGGTTTCCGGCAAATCGCTCGAAGCAAAGGTCAGTACTAAGTGTTTGGTTGGTATTTCTTTTTGATCTCTTCTTATCTTAATACGCTGTACGTTTGTCACGTTCTGGCTCTTCCATCCTTCCAGAAGTTCAGCTTCGGTCAGGTAGAGCAAATCTGCGTCTGATACGACCCCGCGAGATGAGTTCATAGACCTGTGTGGCGTAATACTGATAGGTGTGTCTCCAAACGTTGTGATGGTGTTCAGTTTATCGAATTGGTCTTTGTCACGTATTTCAAGGAGTAGATCTCCACTGGCCATTTTGGTAACCTTGTACCCGGCACCGAGAGTTTCGGTTAAGCATCTAGAAACTACGAAGGGGGATACAGTTCTGGCTTGCTTGTTAGTTTTTTCGCAGTGTATAACGTGGAAATGAGGAAACATTTGTCTTGGCCGGATGAAAAAATTGATGTCTTCGGTGCGTACCCGCTTTGAGGAGGCACGATCACTGAGTAAAGGGAATGCTTTCTGCATGCTAATTGTATGTTGTTCAGCAGCGTTGGCGGCCACCCACCACGGAGCCCAACGAGGGGACGCTACAAGTTTGCGGATGCTGAAACCTGCAGACGCCAGCCTTACAACGCCACTATAACCCAATGCGCCTAGACCAAGGTAGGCTATTTGCACAGGGTTAACCCTAGCCGCCAGGAGGTTTGGAAGTAAACGGAAGAGAGTAGAAGACAGGACAGATAAACAGTAAGAGATAAAGACGAAGATGTAGGGAGAAAGAGATGGGAAAAGGCGACTGCCGATTTCCCCTGGGTGGGTCAGCCCAGAGGTGCCGTCTACGTGAAGCCGGGGCCAAAGTGGTGTGTTGCCTCTGCCGGAGGGGCCTTAAAGGTCCAATCACCCAGCGTCAGCTCAACCCCCAGGATCCCCTTTTCCCCGGACATGGCAAAGCCACGCACGGCTAGGCGTAGGAGGGAGTCAAAACTCCCCCGTTAGCTCGGGTCCGTGGTGTCGCTACACACCAAACGCCTACTTGCGGAGGCGCCCCTGCGGGGAGCCCCGTCAAATTCAAAACGCGCTTTTCCTCAGAGTGTCAGTGTACTGCGGCGAAGGTGGATTAAGCAGCGTTCTGCACAAGTTGGAACAAGTCATGAAACACTGCTATGCACTCCCCCCTCTTTTTTTTTCTTTTGCAATGGGATCAGGTTTAGGACACAACTTCTTGTCTCGTTTGCAATGCCAATTTTACGAGACAAAGGAACAATGGAGCGAACTTGTTGGCCCGTGACGGCACCGGATATCTATCGCCGGGACGGCGCAACTTCAAGAGAGAAAAATATTTTATGTGTCGTTGCTAAGGCAATCAACGTGGTCGCCAGCAACGCCGATTTTCGCAGCACATCAAGTCTGTTCGCGTGCTAGAAACGCAGCATACGCTTCCAGCTTTAGTCGCTAACATACCATAGCCATGTTTGCTGACTAGGAAGTTCATATTTCCCGCAAAGCGTTGGTGGCTACAGCAATGCTTTTTGTTTTCAAGTTGTGTCGTCCTGTCGATAAGTATTCGCAGAGGTCAGCGTACCAATGGCGCGCGGCTTTCTTACTTTATCTGGTCTATCGCGTGTCCCGAGTGCCCTGACCTAATGGGAATATACATACCTTAGCTTAGGGCTAGGATCTGCGTGCTTGGATTGATTGATGACACAAACTGCAAGCAGATAGCTAACGTGGGCGTTGTTTCTTGCCGAAATTAGCGCAACTGAGAAAACTTCGAGGCTGGGTGGGCATTTTGGCACAGCGCGGCGCAATTTCAGCAGATTTCATAGTTTTGGCACAGCTCGGCACAAGAATGGCGAATGATATCAAATTGGCTCGATTGGTGCCGTTGTTGCACCCTTGCCCTTTGATGTACAGTACAACCTCGTTGATACTTTTCTGGGGAAAAAAAAATCTCGAAAATGAATGGAAGATCCGGAAAAACATAGGATTTGAATCCAGTAAATATTGAGGCTGACAAGAGCATATCGGAGTGCAAAGAGTATAAACACTTATTTTTAAGGAAACACAAGGACTCGTCAATTTTTGTGCTTCTAGCATCTCGCTAGCAGCTAGGTGTCGGCCAGCTAGATCCGGTCTTGACAGGAAACGATGTCGTGCTCTCGTGCGTTGAAGTCCCGAGAAAGACTGAATATTGCAAAACTGAACGCTGGGACAATCAGCGTAAACATTAAGAACCACTACTGTTGTGGCAGCAAACTCATGCCCGCGGCACTAATCAATATAGTGTACCGACTCGCCGGCGAGCGGGCAAAATTTTTTGGCGGAATACCAGGCGGGAACGGCCGCAGAGAGCGCGGAAGCCAATGGGTTAAAGATGCACATAAGAAGACACTTTTATCATCGATGAAATGCCGACAGCAGTTTCATCTGAACACACTGAGTGGAGCAGCTGCCTGACTTAAAGTAGACAAGGGTATAAAGCCAAAGACTCACCGGAGCTGCCGCATGTTGCCCAGTTCAGGTGGCACCTGCCGGATATTGTTGTTTCTGAGATCGAGCACGGCAAGCTGCTTCAGCTTCTGCAGCTGCGCCATGTCCAGCTCCTCAATCTTGTTGTCAGCCGCAAATAGTATCTCCAACGACTCCCAGCTCATCACCACTTTGGGAATGCGCGAGAACCTGCATATTGATTCGCCACGGCAACGCCCGTTCGTAACAAATCTGAACGCCCCGCGGAGCTGATTCGTTTTGTGCAGGAAATTGAAGCAGGAAGCCGAACTCTATAGCAGAGTCAATCAACGCACAGTGGAATGCCAACACAACGCAGTCATCATGTTATGATTGATTGATTCAATCAATCAATCATCATGTTATGATTGATTGATATGTGGGGTTTAACGTCCCAAAACCACAACATGATTACGAGAGATGCCGCAGTGAAGGGCTGCGGAAATTTCGACCACCTGGGGTGTTCAGCATGCACCCAAATATGCACAATCACGTTATGATGCTATCGTGGCATCACCTTGAATTTGCGACTTCATAATAAAGTCACACAACGCGACATCTCATGATCACGTAATCACATGGCACAGTCACCGACAAATACGAGCTGATTCCAGATTCAATGGGAAACCAGGCGAGCCTGCAGAAAGCTCGCAAATGCCTTTGATCTTGAAGACATCGCAAAACCAATGGAAAAAGCTTTCACAGGAGGGTGGGCGTAGATCAATATGTCGACAGGGGAGAAAAATGGGGGGGGGGAAGAGGTGGCTTTCACATTTGAATCACCAAAGGCAAATGCATGAAAGTCCTTGCTAGTTTTTTCCCCCTTTTTTTGAAGACTCAAAAAGAACCACCTGGTGTTATGTTTGGCGCAACAACATTGCATAATTAAGCAGCCAAGCTAGTGGGCGACTGAGCGCTGCTCTGAAGCACAGAAACGACAATCCCACAACAGGCTTGGCTTTGTATACTGATGCATGAGTGCAGTCGGTTATCATATGCAATCAGAGCTCACCTGTTAAACGACAGGTTGACCTCCCGTACATGGGAGAGCATGGACATCTCGCCAGGCAGGTCGTTTAACTGGTTGTTCCTGGAAGAAATTAAAAGGGTTGAGAACTCCAGCAGTGGCCAAGGTTTTTGATAATTAGCATCAAGAGTGTGCAGCTTTCAAGACTGCGCATCTCCACGAGGATATAACTGTTCTTATCAGTGAAAGTAAGCACGTCTGCCATTATTATATTCATGAATCTCAGCTCTCAGGCGTTAGACCGAGACTTTACGTAAATCCTGCCACTGTTCCAACTCGATCATAGGCGACCTGCAATCAGGCGCCAACGATTCTGCAAAAATCCGTCTATAATCTACTTACCTCAAATCCAGGAATGTAAGTTTTGTAGCAAGGCACAAGAAGCCCGGAAGTGCAGCCAACTTGTTAAAGCTGAGGTTCAGCTCTGTCATCACGGGACAGGCGGCTTCAAGTCTGGGAGTGAGTGAAAGAGAGAAAAATTCATTGGAAATATTTGGTAAATGAGAATAAACTGACAACAAAAATAGGCGCATATATTCAATATAAAAACAGATAGGCAAAAAGAAATGTTGTAGTTCTCAACCTATCTGTATGACCTGCATTGTAGTGCACATATAGACTAGCGGAATCAACGAAAGGAAATTCACCTCCACACTACCGACTCTGTGTTTGAACAGAGCTATCCAAGGCTCCGTAGAGCAAAACAGTTTTTCTATACAAACAGAACTAACTTCCTCTTCTTTCTTCCTCCCTTCCTAAACTAAATAGAAGTGCTTGGTGAAAACAGCAGATCAATTCAAAAATGAAAATTACCAGAGAGCGTCTTCAAAATGAAGGATTTGGTACCTCCAAAATCCTTAACTTAATTGAGGTCAAGCACCATACCCCTCAGATTAAAGAAATCTTGTGAAGAAGAAGATGTGCCTGCAGCGAGCAGCATCGCCAACGCCCGGCTCTCTCGCCTCGTGCTTCGGTTTGCTGCTGTGCCGATTGCTGGACGGTTCTTCACGCTGTCTCGTCGCTGTCTTTAACGGCTAATAAACCTCCTCACATTTGGTGGAAGGTGCTGTTAATCCCCGTTGCTACACCCTGGAGCTGCGAAGCCGCACGCTACCACCTGTCATGACTGCCAACGCCACTACATCGACGCCTTCGCTCCAGTTCAACTGCCCTGGCCATCCTAGGCTACGGGAGCCGAAGGTCTTCAGCGGTGCGGATGGGACCGACGTCGAAGACTGGTTGAGCACTACGAACTGGTGAGCGCCAACAATAAGTAGGATGAAGCCGACAAGCTGGGCCACGTGATATTTTATCTCACTGGCGTCGCCGAATTGTGGTTTAATAACCACAAACACAACATCCCCACATGGAGCGTCTTCAAGAAGTCATGTGCTGAAGTGTTCGGTTGGCCGGCTGTCCGCAAGCAAAGGGCAGAACAGCGCTTGCGCGTCCGCTCTCAGCAGACTGGTGAGACCTTTACCAGCTATATTGAGGACGTCGTCGACCTTTGTCGACGTGTGAATGACACCATGCTTGAATCCGACAAGGTCAAAAACATCCTGAAGGGCATTGACGACGGCGCATTTCAAATGCTCTTGGCAAGGAATCCAAGCACAGTTTCTGAAGTCGTCAGCTTGTATCAGAGCTACGACAAGTTGAAGAAGCAACACACTCTGACTAGGCAGCCTCAGCCTGGTGGTGAGTCGCTGTCCAGTTTCGACTCCATGCCCGACAATTCACCATTGCTTCAGCAAGTCCGAGCCTTCGTCCGTGAGGAAGTCGCCCGCCAACTTTCCCTAGTGCCCTTTACTCACGAGACCACCACCCGTCTACCTGCCCCGCTTCGCACTGCTATATCGGAAGAGGTTGCACAAGCTGTTCCTCTTGCGCACTACGAGCCACCTCTATCTAGCCGTGGTCACTGCCCGGGTGTCGCACAGCCGGTGGGCGCTCCTGTCGCCTATCCACCAGCCGTTCAGCCTGCGGCCGCGCCCCTAACCTATGCAACGCAGCCTGTGGCTCTTCCTGTCGCCTTTTCGCAAGAGATGCAGCCCGTAGCCGCGCCGCTCACATATGCAGACGCTGTACGTAGGCTCCCGCAACCACCCTACACCACGCGCTCACAGCCCGCACACCCGGCTGCTTATACTGCACCTTGGGCGGCACCACCAGTCGCCAATTCCTGGAGGACGCCCGATAACCGACCGATTTGCTACGCTTGCTTCACTCCCGGACACGTTGCTCGCTACTGCCGCCGTCGACCTCAGACGTTCGGCAACTATGCCCGGTCGTCGCATCCCGGTAGCCAACCCTTCGTCCAATACGGGCCGGTCTCGCCACCTCGCTATGCGCCTACTGACCACTTTGCCTTCCAGCTGCAATGCTCACCCTCTCCTCGTCGGTGATCGCCCTTCCCTATGCGTTGCCGGCCCGGACCCTCCAACCAGGAAAACTAAGCAACGCAGTTCAAGAGGCAAGAACTGCGCGGTTTTCGAACTGTCTAAGCCCTCGCTCCTCTCCTGCTAACGTGGTCGCAGTAACTGTTAAAGGTTATTGTACTTTCGCCCTTGTGGACACTGGCGCCGCTGTTTCTGTTATTGCCGCTAATCTCTGCCGTTTATTACGCAAAGTAACGACGCCGCTTTCGGGACTGTCGCTTCACACCGCAAGCGTACAGCAAGTAACGCCTCTCGCAGCCTGCACTGCAAGAGTCTCCATCGAAGGCATTCTTTACATCGTGGAGTTTATTGTTCTTCCTGTCTGTTCGCATGACGTCATCCTCGGGTGGGACTTCCTATCCCGCCATAATGCCGTCATAGACTGCGCACGCGCCGAAGTTGAGTTTTCACCCTTGTGTGATGTCCCATTACTGGACGCTCCTCATCAGTCGCCGAAGTCGCTCGTTCATGAAGATACCGATATTCCGCCTGGAAATTTCGCCCTTGTTCCCGTTTCATGCAACGCCAACACTGACGCTACAGTTCTTTTTATGCCTTCCGATATCTTCAAATGTCGTCGAGCTTTGCCGCTGCCTTTCGCAACAATTGACCTTGCCGCCGGAAGAAGCATTATGTTCGTAAGCAATCCGCTTTCCACACCTGTCACATTGCGGGGGAATGTCTTGGCCGCGTGCAGGATCTCGACCCTTCGTTTTTGTTTGATGTCCCGGACGACTACCGCGACCACCCAAAAGCACTGTCGGCACTCGGGGAGTCGTCCAATGATACGTTTTCCAGCGCCATCGCCGACACTCTCACTCCCACCGAACATGCCGACCTGCTGGATCTTCTGCATGAGTTCAGGAGTTCGTTCGATGTGTCGCAACCTCAACTGGGCCGCACATCACAAGTCAAACATCATGTTGACACCGACCTACACCAGCCACTGCGTCAAAGACCATACCGTGTCTCCGCTGAAGAGTGCCGCGTCATCAACGATCAAGTCGAAGATATGCTTCGTAGAGACGTCATTCGACCATCTCACAGTCCCTGGGCGTCTCCCGTCGTCCTGGTGCGTAAGAAAGACGGATCTATCCGATTTTGCGTGAACTATCGTCGTTTGAATAAGATAACCCGCAAGGACGTCTATCCTTTGCCGCGCATTGATGACGCCATTGACACGCTTCACGGAGTGGAATTTTTCTCGTCGCTAGATTTGCGGTCTGGCTACTGGCAGGTCCCAATGGCAGAAGCCGACCGCCAAAAAATGGCATTTATTACACCAGACGGACTATATGAATTTAACGTCATGCCCTTTGGGCTTTGTAACGTGCCTGCCACGTTTGAACGTCTTATGGATAATACGCTACGTGGCCTCAAATGGAATATGTGCCTCTGTTACCTCGACGATGTCGTGGTTTTCTCCCATGACTTTCCTACGCACCTCCTTCGCCTCAGGCACGTTTTGAGTTGTTTGACCAACGCTGGTCTGCAGCTTAACCTGAAAAAATGCCGCTTCGCTGCACGCGAGCTCGTCATCCTAGGCCACCTCGTGTCCAAGCACGGCGTATTACCAGACCCAGCAAAACTTCGAGCAGTCGCAGAATTTCCCAAGCCGACGACCATGAAAGAACTTCGCAGTTTTGTAGGCCTATGCTCCTATTTCCGGCGCTTTGTTTGCAATTTTGCATCTATCATGTCACCGTTAACCCAGCTTCTTCGCGGTGACGTGAACCTCACCTCCTGGTCACTTGCATGTGACGTTGCCTTCATTACTCTGCGCCGTCTGCTCACTTCCCCACCTATTCTTCGCCACTTCGACCCGACGGCTCCTACCGAAGTGCACACCGACGCCAGCGGCGTCGGGCTAGGCGCGGTCCTCGCTCAACGAAAGCCCGGCTATTCAGAATACGTTGTAGCCTACGCTAGCCGCACTCTGATGAAAGCCGAAACTAGTTACAGCGTGACAGAAAAAGAGTGTTTGGCTCTGGTGTGGACGCTTGGAAAGTTCCGGCCGTACTTATACGGCCGCCCGTTCGATCTAGTAACTGATCACCACGCGCTTTGCTGGCTCTCCACATTGAAAGACCCTGCTGGCCGCCTTGCGCGATGGGCACTCCGCATCCAGGAGTACCACATTCGCGTCGTATACCGCTGCGGACGCAAACACTCTGACGCTGATGCCCTGCCCCGCTCACCTTTACCACCAGATCAGACGTGCGGAAACACTTGCCTCCAGACCTTGTCATCGCTAAATCTCGACTCGATTGCCACCGAACAACGTCGTGACCCGTGGATCGCCTCTCTTATCGAATATTTATCTGGCACGCCCAACCTTCCAGTATCTCGATCCCTCCGACGTCAAGCTTTCCATTTCGCCATCCGCGATCAACTTCTTCATCGACGCAACTACGCTCCCGATGGCCGCCGGTGGTTGCTGGTCATTCCACGCACTTTACGATCGCAAGTATGCGCCTCCCTTCACGACGATCCGCAATGTGGCCACGCCGTAGTGCTCAAAACATATGAACGCTTTCGCCATCGCTATTACTGGCGCGGCATGTACAATTTTGTACGTAAATTCGTGCAGTGCTGTCCTGACTACCAGCGACGTAAATCAACACTGCCACGTGCGACTGGCGCATTGCAGCCACTTCCATGCCCTGCCAAGCCATTTAATCGCGTCGGCGTTGACCTCTACGGTCCCCTTCCATTGACACCAGATGATAATCGGTGGATTATAGTGGCGGTTGACCACCTGACACGCTACGCCGAAACAGCCGCTTTGCTGAGCGCTACAGCTCAGGATGTCGCCTCTTTCATTTTGCAACGCTTTATCCTTCGACATGGTGCACCTCGAGAGCTCCTTAGTGACAGAGGCCGCGCTTTCCTTTCCGAAGTCGTCGAAACTCTGCTTTCGGAATGCCACGTCATTCATCGGAAAACGACAGCATACCACCCGCAGACTAACGGAACGGTTCAACCGCACGCTAGGTGATATGCTCTCAATGTACGTGGCATCTGATCATAGCAACTAGGACCGTGTTCTCCCATACGTCACGTTCGCATATAACACCGCAATACAAACCACCACGGGATTCTCACGTTTCTTTCTTCTTTACGGACGTGAGCCTTCCCATACCATTGATACCCTACTTCCTTACCATCCTGATGCTTCCGAGTGTCCACCTATCTCCGATGCTGCTAGACAAGCCGAAGAGTGCCACCAGCTCGCCCGTGCGTTCACCTCGGAAGAGCAACAACGCCAGAAAGAAACCCGTAGCACCTCTCTTCCGAATCCCAAATATGCCCCAGGGTCTCTTGTGTGGCTTGCCATCCCATACCAAACACCGGGACTCTCCTCGAAACTTGTCCCCCGGTACGAGGGGCCTTACACCGTTTTGGAGAAAACCTCTCCGGTTAATTTCCTAATTGAACCAGTTTCCCGATCAGACGACATGCGCCGGCGTGCACGTGACATCGTCTATGTTTCCGGACTGAAACCGTACCATGAGCCTTTGCCTGAAACTTCTTAAGTCGCCAGGATGGCTCCTTTTTCAGCGGGGGCGATTGTGAAGAAGAAGATGTGCCTGCAGCGATCAGCATCCCCAACGCCCGGCTCTCTCGCCTCGTGCTTCGTTCGGTTTGTTGCTGTGCCGATCGCTGGACGGTTCTTCACGCTGTCTCGTCGCTGTCTTTAACGGCTAATAAACCTCCTCACACACTAAACATGTTCACCAAAAAGAAGCTTACGTTAATGTAAATAGGAGAGGGTATTGCCAGAGAAGTCATAAATTTTTATCAGCAAAACCAGATTGATGGCATGTACAGCTTCTGCTGACCTAGTGGCCTCGGCATTTACAGGCATAGCAGCATGTTCCCAGAAGTGAAGCTACTTTTATCCAGTGGATTTGCGAGTCTCACTTTTCCAGCTTTCCTTAAAAATGTTGCAAGCCACTCCAGCACTAACAGAACCGCCGGCAGAAAAATGTTTGCACATGTACAACATACTATGGGAAAAATCGGTGCAGGTTAATGACCACTGAAGATAAGGCCATTTCACTTAGAGTACTGTTCATGCAACATTGCCAGCTTAGTGTTTTGAGATTAACTGAAGCTCCCTCAATGAACCCCAGTTGCGCAGTGGCTACAGAGGAGAGCAATCAGTGCCATATGCGTGACCAAGAGATCGGTGCTCAGAGGCGCAATCTTGCACACTCTAACAGAACAGAATGCAACATCATGAGTGATTAGGAGGAAGCAAACAGCCAACAGGCAAAGAGGAAGCATCCCAGAAGTATGCAACACATTTTTATTGTGCACTGGGAGACTGTCTAACTGCTTTCAGAAATATTTTCAACGTATGAAGAAATATAGAATTATTATTACTAAACATCAGGGGGCATGTTTTTCAAAATTTGAAACTGAAGAGCCGTATGACTAACAAGTTATTTGTGTTAATGTCTTCACTGGGTGCTAGTTAGTGTCGCAGTTCCACAAGAGACGTGTGCTTCTTTAGCCGGAGCGCTTACATTTCGATCTAATCCGAATCATCTGGAGACCATTTTAACGCGATAGCGTTAAAGAGCTCGTGTCGCAGAAAACCTGCCGTCGGCGCCGGCCCGCTGGTAGTGAGCGAAAAATCGTCTGTGCGTCTGTGACTGAAAAACCAAGTCACCGAGATAGCCGCGGGAGGCCGTTACTTGTCTACGTGTGTGCGCGCGATCACACTCAAAAAGTTACGTATTCGAAAAAAAAAAGAGAAAAAAAAAGCGCTCAAGGTCACAAGGTGCGTGTGACGTTTTTTGATTGCCCCTCCCATCCCTCCTTGCTTAGCTTCCAGCACTTTCGTCGGGACGAGAGAAGAGATAATGCAATTGCTGCATGCGATAAACCTTTGTAACTCCACTTGCACGGGACGGATTCTTAAAGCTTTTGCAGCGTTGAATTCGTGAGGCAATAAGCTCTTCTAGTGAATTCATTTCATGGTTATTTGAAAAAGTGTTTCAGGGCCCCTTTACTGCGTTTTGTTCGACAGGTGTCACGACAAAAACAAGCTTATTCGGCGATAATAGCGTGCGCTGGTTCAATATACTGTGTGCGTGTACGTGTATGTAACAAAACATTTGAATAAGTATACACTTAGCGGTTGAAGGGTGCACTAAGGGCCATATTTTGCTATAGCGTTCAACTTTTAAAGGCAAAGTTTAAGGGCCCCCAATTTCGTATTCGTTCAATCTGACGGAAATACGTCTTTGTCTGCTCTGTGCCCTTTGCCTAACAGACCATAATACTATTGATAGCACTGCATGTTCCAGTTGCTGTTCTCACCTCAACTAATATTGTGCGGGGCAATATTATGTTTCATCATAGAGTATGTACCCTTCTTCAGTTAAGAGAATTGATTAAATTCCAGGCTATTATGCACCAAAACAATATGTGAAGACAACACAATACACATCAAGGCAAAAGGAACACTGTTTGAAGGTCAGGAAATTTCTTTCTGAAGGTGGCCTCTTGTAGTCCTTTTTATCTGCAAGAACTGTTCATGGCTGAAACAGTCTGTGATCTAGCATAATAGATACGAAATCAAACAATGCCTTTTCCATGCATTTAAATCATTTGTTCATTTACCTAACCAAACATGCAACCACCCTGCTGTTTTCATTCAGAAGATTGTGACCCAAGGACCACCGAACTAAGTTGTACACGCAAGTTCATATCATTCATATCGGTCTTTGCTGCAAAGGCGTGCCCATTACACACAAAAGAAGGAACTTAACCAGGCCGTACGTAGTCCTTCTGCTTACACATCATTCAAGTGCAGCTATGTTCGTTACGGTGATGTGCGACAGTGCATGATGAGTTCAAACTCGTTATGGCTTTTTGTGCTAGTTCATTAAACTGAATGTTAATTGTTCAACTAAATGCAATTTAGAGTACTTAAAGACTACTTCAACGCTGCGACCATCTCTTATATATTTGAATGGAATGAATACGATCATACCCTTTTGGAACGGATTCAAGGGCGTTCTTGCTGAGGTCGATCGTGTTGGCATCACACTCAGCCGCCATCTTGAAAATCTCCTCGGGGACATCATGCAGAGATCGCTTGCTGCAAGAAAAAGAAGAAAACAAAGGTCCACATCACTATATACTGCCCTGTACACTATGCGCTTTACACTAACAACACGTAAAATATAGTGCCAAGCCAGTAACTAACAATAAACACTAACAAGTGAAATATAGTGCCTAGCCAGTAACTACCAATAAACTGTGCAGCCCAGTGCACCATAATACAGTATTACGTAACACATGAATTAACTCTTTACTATCAGTCTTAAAATAACAAAAAAAAAGAAAGCAGAAAAGCTCATGTCCAAACTATGCATTTTTCTTTTCAGAGCTCTCTGGAATCGGCACATGTAGTAAACTCAATAAATGAATTGAAGGGAACATTTTTCCTCAAGAACATGAAGAAATTGATGGGTAACTACTGTGAAAAAAGTTGGCTTCCCTTCATGGCTTGCAGTCAATTTTCCAAGCAGTATTGTCTCGTGGCTACTATAACCACGAAGAAAACATAACTCAATCTGGTAAAGATGGGACTGTTTACTGGGCGACCTCGCGCCAAGATGGAACACTCAAATCACAGTGAGAGCAGACAGAGGTTGATGATAATGTTGGCGGAACATGTCTTTTATAATGAGGTGATCAAACATTCCAGTGTTAATGCTTGTGCTCGTGTTAGCTCAAGAATAAACTCAACTACTTGCATTGTGCACGCTATACTATCGGGATAAACATCATGATGTTTATCAGACCATGCGAGATGGCCTGTGCAGAGAGGTGGTAACAGTTCTGGTAGATGGAGCCTAATCAATAAAAAAGTAAGCGCACAGTTAAAAATATTACTGCGGTACTGTAGCACATTTTTGGGAAAAAGAATAACTCGGACAGTTTGCCAAGGACCATCTAAGAAAATATACGATAGTCGTCATGCGAACCATGCAGACATGCTAAACTGGTCTACGGCCGGCAAAGTACCACAAAGGACCTCGGTACACACCGACCTTAGTTCCAGTGCATGGGTTGTCTTGAGGGCAAACTTCTCGATGGACTCGATCAGGTCCGAGCCATCGTTGAGGCACGCCCCTCCGGACAGCCGCTTGCGGGCAGCACCTTCCGGCGACTCACCCAGCCGATCTTGCAGCCACTTCAATAGGTGCACTGTACCTCTCTGCAGTTGTTGAAGAGAACTGATTATTTTCTAGGGCATTATGCTCTAAATTGAACAATATGCAAAGGCAACACACTAAATATCAAAGCGATAGTAACACTGTTTGAAGGTCAGGGAATAAACAGTCTGTGATCGAGCACAGGGATATGAAATTAAATAATGCCTTTTTCCATGCATTTATACGATTTGTTCATGTACATAACCAAATCTGAAAGCACCCTGCTGTTTCTCTAAAGGGAATGCAGGGTAACTAATAAATAAAATAGATATGACTATGACTGCATGAAGTAGCGAGATGTCTCTAATTTTGACCATGTGGAATCCTACAGGGCGATGCAGAGAACTAAAAAATAAAATAAATATGACAGACACATGTGGCAGTGGGACTGGTTGGAATCAATTTTGACAACACGGAATAAATTTCAGCAAAACAGGCAGTTTTGAAATTTGGCTTATAGTAAGCAGTTGTAAGTTTGGCCCGTGTAAGACCTACGGTATGCGAAAATTCGGACATACACTTTGGGACCCATGCATATAAATATGGACATTATGTTACTGATTCCTGGCATTAAAGACTAACCCAGATAAAATGAACCTAAAGAACATCCCAAACGATTTTGACATATTGATAATTTTACAATTTGTATTTAAAGCCCTCAGGCAGCTCGCTTCATTGCACAATAATTCATTCTATAATTGTTATGCTTTGCCTCATGACACAAATGTGTTGCAGGGAAGGTCACTACAGCAAATCTATTGGAGTTTTAGCAAGTTACGGATGTAAGATTCGCAGACACAGTAAGGCCGTACAAAAGCACTCCTTTTTTTTTTTTTCAAAACCGTGCTTTTGTCACTCCCAGTTCCAGCGACAGTGCACACCCCTAACTGACAGGTTCCTCATAAAAAAAAGCATAGGCTGACAGGCAACAATGCCATGTGACAACCCTGCAGAAATGTTTGGAAAAGCTTTTGCAGTGTTGGGGTGCCTTCACTGGCAAAAACAGGACTGAAGAATGATGAGTGGTACCATTTTATGGTACCATATCTGCACACCGTATCTCCATAACTTGCTAAAGGACTGTTTATGAAGTTGTGATAGAACAGCTTGTCACTCGCAGTAATGCACGCAGCAAAGTGAAGCATATGAAATAATGACCATTTACATTTACACAGTCAAATGAATTCAACATACAATCAGTTAGGCAAACAGAAGCATACGGCTACTCTTTCATGGCCTAAAAGGAAAATTACTGTTTTCTGTTGCCTACTTGCCTCATTGCATTCATTTGGTTTTGTCTGAAAAAGAAATCAACCCTGCAAAAATTCCCGTTCTTTCATTCTTCCACACACATACAATACAGTATGCTATGCTTCTAGACACAACTTTCCACAGAGATGTGGCAAATGTTTGATACATACAACATTTAAGCATACAAGGGTTCAAGGATACTCGGGCGCGAGTAACAGCAGAAGCGTGAAGCGGCAACCCTGAACATTGATGCCGGCGAACCCACCTTGACGATATCCCTGCGAATGGCCCTGAGGGGATTCCCCTCCACACCAAGACCCTTGAGGTGTGCCAGGGTTCCCAGTTCATAGGGTAGGGATGCGAGATTGTTGTTGGACAAGGTCGAGCCGCTCCAGGCCTTGGATCATGGTGATGTCCGGCGACAGGGCCGAGAGCTTGTTGGACTTCAGGTCCAGCGTCTTGAGACTCAGCAGCGTCTCTATCACCTCAATGGGGAATTCCTCTATGGCGTTGTTGCCGACGTGAAGCTCCTGAAATGCAACAAGGGGCCCTCGTGTACTTTCAAGTTGACAGCGAAGGGTTTCGGAAATTTAAGCCTTGCTGCTTTTATACCAATGTGTGCAATTAAGGCCATGAAAACTTCCCGCACCTCCATAACATATATAAATATCATATAATTGTTGCGGTTCTACGTCCTGAAATTCCAATGGGACTATAAAGAACGATGTAGTGTAGGGCCCCGGATTTTAGTCACCTGGAGGTTTTCGAACGTGAACCTGAATCTAGGCAGCATTTCGCCTCCATTGAGATGCCGCTGACACATCCAGGATTCTATCCTGCGACCTTCGGGTAAGTAGTCAAATACTGCAACCATCACACCACCGTGGCTGGTGTTATTGGAAGCCGAGACGGTCGAGTTTCGTCCTATACACTACCTTTCGTTTCTTGTTTTGCACGTATAGTAGACTCATTAAGCAGAACCTGAAGGCACCAGAAAAGCAAGTTCTGCCGCAACAGAAGTTCCGTTTACTGAGGCATGAACAGGGCCAAAGTACTCACATAATGAATTATATCGTAGGCAGTTGTTTCAATTAAAGCGGTAATTTCATTTACCATATTACTGTATTAGAAGTAAGTTGTGAAACTCTTGCATTTTTCGGATATTTCTCAACTCGTGCGACAATGAGTGCGATCCCCAGTTGCCAAGCAAACTTGATGTCACCAAGCCAAGTATATATATGCACTGGATCTTGACCTTCAAGGTAGGGCCGATTGGGGATTTCTCTGTGCGTTGCTGAACAATAGAAATTAGCAGTGTGTGCGTTAGCTGAAAGCGTGCTGCGGGTCTGTGTCCAATTGGAGTCTCTGTCTCTTACTGCCCATTAGCAGCGATTGACATGTTCCAATTGGCAACACCGGTTTATTACTGCCTGCTTTGCGCCTCCCCTGGTTTCTCCTGAGCGCAATGCCGCAACGAGTGCCAGCGTCAACGCCACCACCTGTGTAAGCGTTAGTGCCGATTTCTTTGCATCTACACATGGTTGGCTTTAGTGGTAGATGGCATAGTTTTTTTTGTTTAATTAAAATTTAAAGCATGTTACATATTTCTACATAATCTAAGTGTAGCAAAGTAAAAAAAATCAATTTCGCCAATTATCTATTGCACCCTATTACTATCCCAACTTTCTCATCAACCAAGTTCTCTTTGAAATCATTCTATTCGACAGACCAAACCCTGGCCTTCTAGAGTGCCTGCAAATGGGCCGCCATGTTTGGCTTGGCAGTATGTAGAACTAGCCGGGGTCTCCCTAGCGTCTTCTCTGGACCCAAATAAAGTCTTCATCATCATCATCCTCATTCACACATGCCTATTTAGGCTTGTGTGAATGAGGATGAATGAGGCTTGGGCGAATGAGGAAAAAAAAAAAAAGAGGAATGAGGAAAAAAAAAAGCCTTCGGTTGTGAAAAGAACCTCCGGAGTGTGACTTGAGCATAACATGAAACCAATTCATACAAGGCGAATTCTACAGCCCAGGCCGGAAATAACAAGCACTGGCTGCAAGGCACACGATAGTGCAGATGCAGAAACATCGAGCAAAACTTCGAACTTGCCATCAGGCGTGCGCAGGCAGTGAAAGGTGGCAGCGCTGTGAGCTCATTCTGTTGAGCAAACAGCTGCTCCAAGTGGCAGAGCGAACCGATGGATTCTGGCAAGCTTCGTAGTCGGTTGGACGACACATCAAGGATCTGCAAGGCTGTTGATATAAAAGAGAAAAAAAAAAAATGAAAGCTATGCTGCGAAGAGTTGGCGCTCATGTAATGTGAACTACAGCAGAACCCCACTTCTACATTGTTACCTTACTGCGCACTGCTTAAAACAGGAACACTTGGGACGAAAGACTAGACGGACAGTCTAGTCCTGTCTGGTCTTTATCCCAAGTGTTCGTCTTTTAAGCAGTGCGCAATAAGGTAACGATGAACGGCTACCAACTCGCCCAAGCAAGTACCCTAATAACCCACCTCTACATTTCTCACCTATACCCTGGATCCATCCTGCAGTGGATGGATACGGTGTTTCATGGAGCCAAAAAAACATCCCTTCCCTTTAATGATGAGTTCAGAGGAAGAAGAGAAGGAGGAGCAACATTCTTGAAATCCCGTGAAAGTGACGTAGGTCGTTCTTCCAAAAAGGCATAACTTCAAGAGCAGTAGGAAGCTTAAAAGATGAAAATTTGCAGGAAACTGGCACTTCTACTCTTTATTTCTCTCTTTTTTTTTTCTGTTGGGATTGAACGTCTTGCCAATTCTCCTCTTCTGCTAAGGTAGGAGAAGGAGGTACGGAGAAGGAACATGTGCTTTTTAAGCTAGGCAGTGGCGCCCTTGAAGGAAAGACTGCTTCTGGCTCCAGTAGCATCCCGTGTTCACAAGTTTGTTCTTTTTTATAGTTTTTTTTTTCATTTCTCACAGTACAAGCAAATGGTGCAGTTCAAAAATGGCACATACCGGTGAAAATATTCATTGAAAAAAAAAATGTTTCTTTCTCTGTCTAATGGGCACACCTTCAATTTTCATTCTAAATTAAAAAAAGTAACAGCAATTACCCAAATATAAAAGCTATATGCCAAGAAGGCTTGTTTATGCTAAGAAGGCATTTACTTGCTTGGCGAGGCGGTGGCCCCATCTCTTGTGCGCCGCTAGAGTCAGCCCTATGTTTCCAAAATGTTCTTGCTAAATTAAGTCGAGATTACTTTTTGGCTACCATATTTACTCAATTGCAATGCGCACCTTTAAATATATATATATATATATATATATATATATAATTTTATATAATATATATCTTAAAATTGCATGCGAGTTAGATTCTGGTAAAGATGTTCAAACTGTCTCATAACTCTATTTTTGTTTTTGGGTCATGTAAGTGAGGTGTGCGTTGGAATTGGGTAAATGTGGCCCTTCTGTTAATTATATAATTTTAGGCCTTGTTAGTTCATTTTAACCCAGGTTTGAGCATTGTTAGCTAGCCCTCTTAAGTGCTTTACTGTGGGCTTGATCACGCCACTTGAGATGTAAGTTTGACAAGCTAGGCTCCTAAAGTGCTCTACACTTGGAAAGCAAAGATGGTTGGAAGGTGCAAGTTCAAATGCACGTCTTCAACACTTGAGCAACAATTTCTGAACTGTGCGTATCTTACCGTTCATGCTGCCAATTTCAGGAGGAAGCTCGGTAAGTGAGTTGTGCGAGAGATTAACGTTAGCTGCCCGAGACAGGAATCCTATCATGGCTGGTAACGAGCTCAGCTTGTTGTGACTCAAGTCCTGCAGCACATAATTGAGAAAGACGAAAGAAAAAAAGATCACCGTGTGCACAAAAAAATTGCGTGCAGTTACCAGTGTGCATTAGGGAACACGTTTAGCATCACGGCTTGCAACCAATGTGCTGATACAAAATACACCAAGAAGAATGCAAAAGTGTCAAAACAAACTACTCCAGAACAAAGGTCTTGTTATGGTTATCTTGAGACACACATAACAGATGACTTATTCAGAAATGCACAAGTACATTACATACATAACATTGCAGCTCAGACTCCTGGCTGCTTGATTGATCTCGCCCAAGTGTTTTCCACAGGAACCAATCATCAGCACTATGTTGGTGTTCCCACTTGTTACAAAAATGTGCTTTTTCATTTATTGCTACCTAAAAAGAGCTTATATATATATATAAAAAAACAGCTTCTTTTCATGCATCTTTAACATTGAAGATGCGATATCAACCAAAGCATTTGCTACAAATTATTTCTCACACCACTGCCCTTTACGAAAGGGAACATGCCAGCACGTGGCCTGCGCTTTGCGACAGCTGCCTACAGCACCATAAACAGACAGCTAAAGAAAGCATGTCCACTACTGACAGCATCACTCGTTGCAAGACTAGAGCGGGTGCGTTACCAAGCAAGGCTCGTCCACTGGCCATCACTTGCTATTCTGTTAGCCAATAGATGATGCCGAAAGTAGCCACAAAGTAAAACAGCTAGCCGTTTTAATATCCAAACAAAGAATGAGTATCACAGTTCCTTCCATACCATTCGGAAATAGTAACAAACTTGAAAAGTCGTTGCGCTAGTGAGATGTATTGGAATCTATCGACAATAGCTAAGGCAATGCTCTCGTGGATGTTACACACTGGTAACATCCATGTGCACAGCAAAGTATTACAACTAGGAAAGCTAATATTCTAGTACTGCATGCACAAAATAAAAAGAACGCTAAGCGTTGAAAATGGCGTACCACCAGTTCCAGAAGAGAGAGGTTGCCAACATCGTCGCCCAGCTCGGCCATCTCATTATGGTGTGCAAGCAGCTGCCTCAGCTCCTTCAGCTGATAGAAGGAATCAGGCAGTCGTTGAAGCTTGTTGCGGCTGAAAGAAAAGTTTAATTATACAAAAAGTTATTGCTGTGTTTCTGTGGTATCGAAAACAAATGCGCTTAGGTCACACTACTTCAGTGCAAGGAAATGCACTTAGCCTTTTGTGACACACACTGTGATCAGTTTGTGAATGCATGACATTTACATAATTTGATGCCAATGTTCTTGAGAACATATAAAGAAAGAGTGGGAGTGTTGGAATAAAGTACACTTAAACCTCTGCTAAGGCACGTTGCCGGGCTAGTTGGTTGAGATTCATTATTTTCACTGGTATAGCGCACCACGACAAGGACACACAAAGGAGCGCTGTGTGTGTGTGCATAGCGCTGTGTGTGGGTATCTCTCCTTTGTGTGTGTCCTTGTCGTGGTGCGCTATACCAGTGAAAATAATGACTTAAACCTTGATATAACAAACCTATATATAGTTAAATATCAGTTCTAATGAAGTAAATAAACATAGTCTTGCAATGGACATGATGCTAGGAATATAGCTTTATAACTAATTTTCGGATATAACAAACTTATTTTTGCATAAGATGTAAGTGTTATAATAAGGTATGAGTGTATTTACATTTTATAACAATTGCTTGTAATTACAAAGTAACAAATATCTAATTATTATGCAGTCAGTCATGCCATGTTTATTCCTAAAAGGAGTTCAACAATCCACTCAAATTACCCGAGCTTGTTATCTGATGACAATAGGCACTCCTACCAACAATGATGAGGCCATGCCACAAGCTTCATGTAATCGAATTTTTGTATTGCACAAGTTACATAACAAAAACAGCAGGCCTCTCATGTTTTTATCTTATGCTGCTGCATTCCTAGTTTTTCACTGTGCCCACAAATTGTACTATGCATCACTTAAGACTAACTGCCATGCTTGTCATCTTAACCCTGTCTAATTGCATCGAAAACACAGTTTAGAGTATTGGCTATCTACACGGCAAATGAAGACATCACCATGTTTCTTTTCATTTCTATTAGATGCGACTAGGCCTGTGTAACAGTGTCCCTTCGTACACCCACACTGCGCATGCTCGTGTCTCGTGCTGGCCCAGAAGACGCCCACGAAACTGTCGCCCCTCTCCCTTGCAAGGGCGACACAGGCAGCGTCTGCTAATAAAAAGCAGACTGCTCACACTGCACAACCATTCACTGGCCACCCCGTTTATGTAGGTGCTGGATCGCGCATTCGGAATTTAGTCAAGGGCACCTTTACTTGGTTTTCCCTTGAAGAGCCCTAGCGTAAACATGGCCGCCAGTGTAAATGTCAGCGACACTGCTTCACATCTACTCATGGTTCCCATTAGCGGGAGATGGTCCAGGTTTTTTATTAAATGCATTTCTTAGTCGGGCTATGTCAAGCGTCTGTCGGGATCCGTCCACCGCCCTCTCCTATAGAAACAGCTGCGGACATGCATGTCTCTAGTAACTAGAGCCCCCACCATGTCACGCTACAGCATTGGCAGCCATCAGCAACAGCTGCAGGCTCGCATGCTTATCCTCACCCCTAGAAACCAGAGCCCACACCTCCTTGACTTGAACGTGACTTGCTATCACCTCAATGCAATGCATCTGAAACGCACTTGTAGCGCTTGTGCTGCCAGCGTTTGTGGAGAGTTTTTAACTGTGTACGCAAGCTACTAGAGTTGGAAACGCATAGTGCATTTCTCGCGACAGAAAAACATCACGTGCGACAAATTGGCTGCACGGTGTAAGAAAAAAAAGTCATTATTCTTCTAACACTGGGTTCTCACATGCGAAACACTGTTATGGACGCTACGCAATGCATTCGAATTTCCTCACGATTCTCTTCGGAGAGGTGGGGGCAATTATATTTTTTTTTGTTTTATACTGACTCGGACAAACCTCTTATAAACATCGCTTTAATTAGCTACCACAGATTGTTTTCGATACTTTAACTAACCACCTGCATTTTTGACACTAGTATTGAAGCTCTGTATTGACACGTGCGAGCTTTCAACTGCTTACCCTTCACATTATAACTTTATTTTGGCTGCACCACTTGTTCGAAATTTAACTTCTCAGAATGATGCAATTCCTTATCACTCTCATTGAAGATTGTTAAGATGACAATATAGAAAAAAACATTATTAAAAGAACAGTGGATAAAACAAGGAACTGCACATTCATTTCTCGTCAACTGCTCTATTTGTGTAGCTTGCTGTCTGACCTTCTGAAACACCGTTTCAGCATGGTTCGAAAACACTGTGATCGGCAGTCATGGCTCCCGAGAACATGCGAGCCAAACAGCGCAGTAGGGGGCCTAAAATTTACCATTATTTTGCAATGTCAGGTAGACATTGCTTACTCTTTTCTCAACAAATGATGCCGCAAACTAAAAGGATCACGCCTGAAACACAAAGTCTGTGGGCATTCATTGATTTGAGCATGGCAAGCTGCATAGTCACCATGCGCACCACAAAATCTTTGCGACATGCCCGTGCATGTACTACTGATCACATTGAATGTTGAGCAGGTGATATGAATAAAAATAAACAACCCCTTGCAGTAAAGGTGCAGAACGAGTGCCAACAACATGCACCTCAATTTTCGGGGGATTTTTTGCTGCTCGATTGTATGTTACTATCATTATCGATATCTCAAAAGTGACTGTTCTTATTAATAACATGACAAGAACAATGTTATCTCAGCTGCCTCTGTAAAACCAAATTTTCATGTATTTTTTTGCTGAGGAGTAAGGCGATCCATACTTTCTCCTTAATAGTAGCCATTTGACAGTGAGACTATTTGAAAGCGCTGCTTTCTGAAGCACACTGCAGTCTAGTCACGAGTAACTTTCCCAGTCTCATGGACTTTCTTCATCAACAAGAAAAAAATGAGCATGCTATTAGTACACTATTTAAAATAACTCAGTTAGGTGTCATTTGAACATGCCTACACATGGCTCATTGACAGTTTGACAATTAGGTCAGTACTTACCGAGTTACATATATAAATATGACTGATTAGTTAATCTCAATTAAGAGTAAAATTAGCAGAGGCTGCTTTATAGCGTATAGAGAAATATAGGTAGTCATACTGCATTTGCTTTGCGTAACAGCGTCCCTCCTTTTTTTTATGATCTATGTGACAGCTGGGACATCCTTTACAGTATATGTGCTCGAACAGGGTTTAACCCCTTATACCACTTCGAAAGTCCACAATTGCAGCCCTACAGAAAAAAAATTAAAAATTAAGTAGCAGACAACAATTAAGTACAGATTCAAGGAAGGTTTTCTCTGGACTACTTTATCAAAGAGACTTCATGTGCCAGGGATTTGCACCAACTACAAGCACACCACACAGAATGCAAAGTGTAGGGCTTGCCTAATATTCAGCTTTGTGAGGTGGTGGAGGTTTCCAATGGTGTCTGGCAGTGAAGTGAGAGCATTGTCATTCAGCTGCAGTAGAAAGAGATATAAAAATTACAAAAAAAAGAAAAGTCAGGTAGAGGGGCAGCCGAGGAAGAAAGAACAGGATGTAGGTTAGCAAAGCAGAGCTCCCCCCACAATAGTCTGGTCTCGCGCGCAATCCCTCAAATCAAAATGCAGGCATCGTGCCAGGAAAGGCATACATATGGATGCTTGTGGCTGGGGTCAACCGAGCGGAACAAAATAAAAAGGATGTCGCGACGGCAGAGATAAACGATGTGCCTTCGCTTCCGCCGTATGCTGGGAGCTATGAGGATTATTGCCGGGCCAGGCCGAGAGCAGTAGCGCTAAACCCGTTCCAGGGCGGGGTGCTGTTGGTGTCTACTTGTATCAGAGACAATGAGGTATTTCGAGCCAAAATAAACAGGCTGTGGAACTGTTTGCTTCTGGAGATCGTTACAAGTACAATTCAGCTTTTTGAAACAAGATACTTTCGCTCGCTCAAATCGAGTGTTTTTTACGCAGGGCCATAACTTTTCCCACTCAGTGATTCATGAGAAGAGACAGAAGGGGAGAGAAAAATAAAACTCGGAACATCATGCACGCTCGTTGTACCGTTTATCAACAAAAGGTGATGTTGCCAATGAAAAAATTTTCGCAACCAGCAATGATGAGAAAATTCCATACAACCTTAACCCGTTTGTCGAACCAGTTTATCAAGGTGTACACAACATTGCGACGATCACGTAACCTCCAACGAACATTTAGAAGCTTGCCTCACTCAATAAGCAACTGGTAACAAAGTACATGTAACTAACTTGAAACAAAAGGGCCTCTAACATATCTTCCTCATGGCTATCTGTTGTATGCGTTGACTATTTATGTTTCCAAGAGTGTCTTACTTTGCTGGTGCTATGGTATTATGATTTCACTCACATTTTGCTTTTGTGAAAACAAAACTGTTTCCCGCAGGCATTACAAGATCCTTCCCTGTGTAACACCACTGTGTTACTGATGGCCTTTATGCTGAACAAATAAATACCCGATAATACAAACAGCAGGGAATGCAGATATAATAGGCATTCCCACTTATGCCTGATGGCTTGTCACTGTCCCTCAAGAGGAAAGCATGTAACCGTTGTCTAGGGCCAGTGCTTACATACAGTTATGGAACTTTATTAATAAGTAAACATCGCTCCAGAAGTTAAGAACCACTCTGCATGCAGGCAATGGAACCAAAAAAAAAAAAAGACAAGGGTCACATTAGGAGATAAGAAGAGAGCCGAAGAGACCATGAAGAATCAAAAGGAGGAGCCAATACTATTGTTCATGTTAAATAAAAGCACTGCACCTGGGTAGGTGACGCATTGCAAACGACGGATAACCGGCGGTCAGTTAAAATTGACGGAATGGACACCAAGAGATGGGCTACATATTATGGTAGAGTGTCAGCTGGAGAGATAAAACTGGGGAATCATCAGGCACCGAACAGAATACGCTTTCTCAAGACAAGGTAAATTGGAGATTTTTGATAAAACCTTCATCTAGCAGACATAGAAGGCTGATAAAGAGGCAGCGATGCTCTTACTAGAACAAGTACATCATTCAAGTGTTTTCACCGCAGTTGCTATTTGTGAGACAAAGCACTATCAAACATATACCGAATGTAGCAGTATTGCTTCATTCACCGTATTAGCGAAACTATACAGGCCTTCTTGAAATATGTTAATACTGCTACGATACAACCTCTCGCCAATATACCCATTATTAAACAGGTTTCAGACGATGGCTCTTCAAATACTGCTGCATCACCTTTCCGAAAGTCAATCTTTTAATGCAATAGAACATGCAATGTTTGCAAGCGAGAAGGAATTGCATATTCTCTACATGCTATAAACTCGTACATCAAGAATTTCTGTGAACTTATATCTGGCAGCATAAAACGGTTCTAGTTCATTGGTTGTATAGCATCACACTGTATGACTTTATTGCACATTAATTTGTTAGCAATGTTTGCATGGTTTCTTATTTTATTCTTCCTAATTAGCCTTTCTTAGATTTCAATGATTATGCCTTGTATGTTTGCTAGCTTTTACACTGTACTGAACTTGCCTCTACAGTGGGATGCAGTATTAAATATAAGTGAATTTTTCATAGCATACAAATCAGTTCTGCAGAGACCCTAATAGCATGCAATCACAGCAGTGTCAGAAAATTGACCATTGATTACATCAAGGCTTGGTGCTTAGCACGTAGCAATATTAATACTATTAGGGTCCCTACCTCAAGAATGAGGAGAGCGTGAAATTTCTCTATGTCGGGTGAGAGCCTGGACAGGCTGTTGGACGATAAATACAGCTTCGTCAAAGTCGGCTTGGTCCCACCACCGGTCGCCGTCGCACTCGTCGAGCGAAATTGAAAGTTCTCGCCTCTCATCCTCCGTCAAGTTGTTTATGTTCCAAAGCTGGTCTGGAACTGCGAGAGGAGAGTAAGACATAATAGTAATGGAATTAGCTAAGCTCTGATAGTTGTCACAACATGCCCAACTTTTTTTTTTTGATAAGTGACATGTCTTTTTTCACAATTAAATTTTAATGTATCCAAACTAGCCTTTGGCTAGGGATTAAGATGCATTTTGGTACTATAGTAAACTAATTTATGTCAATATATATAAATTCAATTCAGTCTCCTAAGACCACGCAACCAAACACATTATGCAAGATAAGGCAGCTTGTAGAAGCATTTTCATTAAATGACCACACTATTTGCAGGCAGCTGTTGTGAGAGCAATATAAGTTTGTAGTGACAGGATGCCAGGTATGCAAGCTGCTACTGATTCTCACTAAAAACAACAGTATGTTCCAAAGCTAGGTGGGGAAGCACGAGAAAAAAAAGTAAGAAGTGATTTACAGCAATGGAATAAGTTAACTCTGATATGTGTGGTTGTTGCAACACGCTCCATTTCCTAGCTTCTCAACCCAGGCAACCAAACACATTACGCTAGACCACTTGTGGAAGCATTTTCATCAAATGACCACAGTACCATTTGCAGGCAGCTGCTGAGAGCAATTAAATTTGCAACAGCCAGACATCAGACATGCGAGCTGTAACAGGATTATTACAGAAGAGAATGAGCACGCACTGCATATGTCGTACCATTCCAGTACAAAAAAGATGCCTGCGACGATTAAGTCTTTGCAACAAACTTCAGGATTCAGTTTCTCAGTGCATAGAATAACCCTAGAAGCAAGCACCGACAGGTTGCGAATATCGCTAGCGAGCATATATACTCCCGTTGCTAGGTAACACAGCAACCTGTACATTATACGGTGCAGCAACAGGAAAGCCCTCGGGTTATATATAAGGTTAAGCCAGGTGAGCTGCCCAGCACATGACAAATTGGTTCCCAGATAGAAACGCTTGATACATTTAAAAGAGACAGCCTAGGTGAGCCAGGATTCTTTTACTGGAGATTTGTTTTGAACCTGCCTGCTTTCGGGAGCGGGGGGGGGGGGGGGGGAGGCATAGTGTCAACAGGGGACATGTGCAAACTTCAGGCGGAAAGTCAGTGCCCTCACCTCTCCCTCCCCCCTCAAGTTGGCGCCGTCCCCTCAGACGAGTCGCGTCACAATTCAATGCAAGTGGGCCGTGACAGCTGTCAACAATCTGAGTTCATCTCCACTTACGCGGTGTCAGTAACTACGCTTCTAGGACGAATTACTGAAAGAGACCGCAGCCTGAAAACGGCGAGGTTGTGAGGGGAAACGCGATCCAGTAAATTTAAATTTAGCACCACGCCATCTTAAACGAAACCACGATATAAATTCGTAACTGCAGCAAGAAAAAAAAGAGAAAAAAAATGAAAACGCACAACGCGCTAAGGAGATGTCTAGAACTGCAGCAACACTCAAATCTTTCGAGATGTATAATTTGTCATCGCGTCGGATTGCTCTGCCATTAAATTTCACGGATTTATTTCCCAAGCCGCATGGCTTCAGTCGGGGCTGTTTTCGCAGGGCCGGTTTCGTGGTTTCGTTTATTTATGAACACTGCGGTAGAACGTTAGACAACGGAGTAGCACATGAATTTTTCATCTGCTCGGAAACAAAATGCATTTACGAAGTGGTAAGACAGGGGAAGAACTCGAAGCCAGTTCCCTGCACTGACAACAAAACGTGGCAAGAAAAGGATGCGAATGACGACCGCTTACCGTCAGCCAGGCCGACTCCAGTCAAGTTGAGCTCTCCGCTCTTGCGCGCCAGCTTGATCACATTTAAGCTGAGCGCGGGTGGCTTCTTTTGCGAGTCGAAGCATGCTTGCGGGTTGGACCATTTAAACCTGTGTCCGGGCTGCTGTGCCTTGGGGATGCGGGACATGGCTCGTTATAGTGTCGAGGCGAGCGTCGAAGAAGAAAAGCTCCGCTCGCCTAAGCCATCGGCGTTTTGTCCGACCGCAGGACGCGCACAACCGCTATAACCGCACAACCGCTATAACCGCACAACCGCTATAACCGCACAACCGAACAACGACACGACTCGCATGCGAAATCAAAACGCACGCAACTGGCGAAGTTGAAAACAAAAATACCAGACAAAAAAAGAAAGAGTAACAAAGTGCAACCTGGATAATAGCATCTAACTTAGCCGGCCAAGTTTCGTATATCAGCAATCATAACAAAACAAACAAAAACTAGGCCACAATACTTTTATTAAAAAATTTACATACAACCAAAATCGTTATTGCTAAATGATTAACTAAATTACAAAAAAACAAAAAAAACGTCATACTAGTTTAAATTTTACGCCAGCGACGACACCTGGCGATAGCGTTTTCAAGCACGTCGTCGCGCCGCGGTGAAAAGCAATAGAAAGGCCTGCGCTGCTGTATTTTGAGGTAAGCGATCAACGCGCTGCATTTTGTGGTTTCTTTTTTTGGTCTCGCTTAACCAAAGAGTCTACGGTTTCAGCGCGTCCTTTCAGGCGATCGTGAGTGTAGGAGCTCGCAGGACGCACCCCGATTATCACGGCAAACCGACAAGTCCCTCGCAGGTTACCTTACTTTGGCTGCCAGATACGAGCGTGTCGGGAGAGAACGAAATAAAATTCCGAGACATTCGAGCCTGATCTTTACTGCGCTCTGCCGCCTTGACCTTTAATGCGTGCAGCTGCGCTTTGATGATGTGTTAAGTGACGCGTTCAAAAGTGATGGCGAACGCGCGGTAGATCGAGTTATCCCCTGTCACGCCTGCTAGGAAACAGCTGACGGCGAGCCTCCTTTGATTGACTGCGCGTATCGGATCGACGCATCTAAGTGGCTGCTTGCCGAGGCCCTTTTTGGTGTTAGTTGCTCCAATCAATGCCACAGGTCTTTCCTTGGGGAACCGTTCCTGTGCCGAGCAGCCTCGATAGGATGGGACGACGCAGGAGCAAGCGAAAGCCGCCGCCGAAGCGCAAGAACATTGAACCGCTGGAGACGCAGTTCAACTGTCCTTTCTGCAACCACGAGCGCTCTTGCGAAGTCAAAATGTGAGTACGTTCCCGAGAGGCACTTTATTTTCGGTTGCTTCGTGTTCGTAACGTTGTGTCAAGTTGGGCGGACTGGTCAAGTTTCAACGCTCGGTGGCCTACAGGCGACAGCCAAGATACAACGTAGCTTCAGTGTAATGCTTGTTCAGGTGAAATCTGTATCTATACTATTGTTCAGTAGCGCTGCCGGAAATTTCTTTTCGGAAGGTGGTTCAACCATACATTATATATGCTCATGCGTGCGTTACTGTAACATGCAAAGTTGGAAAATTTTCGGGTGCGTTAAAATGCCGCCCCTCTGGCTACGCCAGTACTATAATCCCAGCTGTCCCACGCGACAAGCGTCAATTAGACTAAAAGAAAACAAACAAAACACTTCGTGCGAAATCTCCTTTTTGTGTTGCCTATGTTGCAAAATGTTGTATTGTAGGGAACTTCCTCCCCGGGACGTTTTTTGTTGGATGGCATTGGCACACAGTCTGTCATCTTGCTGGCATCTGTTAGCGTCTGAAACAGCCCCGACTGAAGGCGACCAAACCCACGTTTTGGCGGAGAAGACTCCGCCAAAACGTGGGTTTGGCGCAGTCACAGCTAAAGCTGGAAGAGCGGTCTTTCGGAGCCTTTTCTGAACACTGTTTGGGTAACTGTTACAAGCACACTCGCTGGGTATCATCCACTATGCCATTAATAATCATAATTTGTGTGTAGCAGGTAGGCATTCATTATGTTGTCCTTCTTCATTCTTTGGAGAAACGTGGTATTCACTGTAGACTTGCAAGGAATTCTTGCAAATTTTTTATGCAGTGGCTGTAGACGAATAATTATGCCTTAAGTGGGTATGCACCGTAGCTAATAAGTGATCAAGAACAAGCTTATTTATTTAGGTACCCTCAGGGTCAGAGGCATTAGAGAGGGGAGTGGGTTACAATAGTTACAAACATAATATAAAACAGAGCAAAAAAAGTATAAACACAACAAAACCAGGAAAATGCAATGTAGTTCAGTGTTACACGTTATACAATGTTAGCTAAAGCAGTTTTAAAAAGTTGGTTGTCCGAGATTGTTGCCGTCAGTGCGGGTAGGTGGTTCCATTCCTGTGATGTACGCGGTATGAATGACTGGGAAAAGGAGTTAGTTCTGCAGGACGGCAAGCCGACTTTATGGACATGATTTATGCGAGCTGAAATGTACCGAGGAGGCAGAATGAGTTCGTTTCGTAGCTGGCTGTGATAGAAAAGCTTATAGAAAAGACAAAGGCGAAGGAATTTCCTACGAGATGATAAGGAAGATAATCCGAGGCTGGATTTCATAGTGCTTATGCTGGCTGTCCGGTTGTAGTTAGAGAGTATAAAACGAACAGAGTTATTTTGAACCATTTCAAGTGAGTGTATTAGATTTTCGTGGTTAGGATCCCAAACTGATGCAGCATACTCCAGTTTGGAGCAGATAAGCGTCTTGTAGAGAGTTAGTTTTAGTGTTGAAGGAGCCTGTGAGTAATTTCGACGCACGTAGCCGAACATGCGATTAGCGTTATTAATTACGTACGTGGTATGCACGGACCAAGTGAGGTCGGTAGTAATATGTATTCTGAGATATTTTTAAAACAATTCAATATTTGTAAAACAATGCAATGGGTTCGAACATTGGATGACCCACTCGTTCAATTTGCATTGTGTGACGCCTAGTGGTTCCTTTGCTGTTCTAAGATGCTTTATTACTTATATTAACGCTATTCCTCTCTTGACATCAAGTCTGCTCAAGGCCAGTTTGCAAATAATTCCAAGCACTGGTGTGGCTTCGAATACCATTGTGTCCTGGATGTTTTTTATTTACGGAGTTTTTTTTTCTTTCTTGATAGTGGTTACGGACAGCGGCGGCACACAACTACAGGAGCTGCGCTCAGTCCGTGTTGTGATCTTCATAACAGCTTTTGCAGTGAAAAAAAAAGTTACACAATTCAACGTTACAGAAGGTATGAATTTGAGGGCTCGTTTTCTTTGCTAGACACAAGGTTAATGACAACTAACCAGCAAGCACGCAACGCAAAGTATAGGGGACGTTATTATAAGTAACTGTAATAATGTAAATGAGAAGAAACAAAAGTGCATGAAAAGGTAACGTGCCGCCGGCAGGATCCAGACTTGCGACCTTCGAATAACATGGTATTTCAGTAATTGCAAATTCAAAGTTTGAGATATTTACCATTCTGGGCTTTACTGAAGTCTTCCATACGTTTTTCAGGGACCGGCAACGGAATACAGGTCGTATCACCTGTCGAGTCTGTCTGGAAGATTTTCAGACAGCTATAAACTGTATCCTTTTCTTGTTTGCAGCTGCTGCTGCTTCTCGTTAACAGCAATGTTTTTTAAGTGCTTTGATCGTGCCACTAACAGTCCACTCGATTGCCATTGGACATACCTTCATAGAAGTTTGCGAAGAGTTAAAAAATGTTATTGCTGCCTTAAAAATTCAGTGTTGCTGTATCACCTTTCTTTTATTAAGTGACAGGGAAGAAATTGTGATTTAACGATATTAAATACTGAACTCCAACACTTGACTTGTACTCTGCCACTATGGCTGAAATGCGAGAACACAAGGGAATCCGTGGCATATCATTGCTGGTCTCGCAGTGAAAAACCTTTAAAACATACATCTGTCCATGTCTTGTATGTAATGAATCTATGACTTTGATAAAAGTGCATGTTCTGAAAACCTCTCTGCTGTTTTTGAGATTTATTTGTAGAGTTCAGTGGCATATGTGTATGAGTGACAGCTGTAGCTGGAATCGATGTGCTGCAACATAATAGGAGCAACAGTATTACACAGTCGTAGTTGTTGGTAGCGATGCACCATGATGAGTGCTTGCTATGCCTTTCACTCATTACGTTTCAACTGACCCATCTTCTTTTCAGTGTAGGGAGGCGTACTCAATGTTTCTTTTTGCTTAGTTGACCTTCCCGCCATTTTCTCCAATGCCTCTGTTCAGTAGCCATTGTCCTTAACTGGGACCCTACGCCAACAGATCTTTCCGAAGCCATTGACGTCTACAGCGACTGGATCGACGCGTGCGAGAGCGCAAACCAGTGAGGAGGGGGCACAAATATCGGCCTCTCCTTCATATGTACATATTGTCAATAGAAATCGCTGGCGGAAAGGAGTGTCATCGGAGCGCATTCATTCGGCTGCATGTGTGTGCAAAGAGCCTTCCATCTCTGTGTCATGTTGTCGTCGTCCCACCGAGCGGTGTGTGGACCACAAGCAACCATCACCCACTTCCCTTCGCTCTCTGTGTTGTGTGCATCTTCAAGGAAAAGTTCAGAAGCACGCGTCATCGTCTGTCGATGTGCTGCGGTCTCTGTTGTAATGTTCAACGGTTGGGGAAGTAATTAAATCTGTTTTATGCTGGGATGGTGCTCCTGTTGCCAGTGTGTGTTTACGCGAAAGCTATCACACCTAAACCTCATTATAACAAAGAAAAATTTGACATGAAAATAACTGCTATATTTGTTATAAACGTTCATTCGAACTACTGTGCCTGTTATAGCCATGTTCGTTATATCAAGTTTTGCATTTGAGATCACATTCAGAAGGTAATTTAGTGGTGTAGTTGTACGCTGACGCTGCTGTTTGTAACTGCTAATGCTCGGTGAGAGGGGAAAGAAAAATTCAGGAAAATCGGGATGAAGTGGGATTTGAATTTAGGCCCTCTGTGAGGCAGTCTAGTATTCTACTACAGAGCTGCGCCGGTGCTTGAAACTCCTTTGCTAAAATCCCTTACGGGAGCCATTTAGGAATCGCGCCCATAGATGTAGGCTAACAGAAGAGTAAAGTAGCACCAGACATACCACAGCGTGAACTGCTTAAGGAATACGTGGTTTTAAACTTCCCACCCATAGCAAAGGGTTTGGCCATTATTCTTTATCATCAGCATCAGTAAGATGAACGTAATTCTTCATAGTAAATGTTCAATGGTTACCTTACTTCTCGAAATTGTGATTTATTACGTAGTGGGTGCCTTAAAGCTGTATTTGTGGTATTCGCACCAAGGGAGTTAACAAGAGGCGTAAGAAGAGTTGCATCCTCAGGTCGTTCAATGTACTGCCCTTTAAAACGAGTCGGAAGTACTATTCTGTTCCCGAAATAAGTAAGTACAATCAAAAACTACTTGTGCATACTTTTGCAGCTTATTATTTCAATCTTTTCATGTCAAAATAGAATGTGACTGACTAACTATATAATAATTAAAATTAATGACTAAAGCTCACACAAAACAACACATTGGTCAATTTTTTTTTTTTGTAATGCCTCGGAATCATGCCACGCGTATTTCTCATATTCGCAGACAGTGCATCAGGGGTCGCACCAAAACAGGATAATCTCGACTATTCAGAATCCAATGTGCACCAACATCTTGCAGTGCACGGGCCTCTACCATTTGGGCTACACTAAAATGCGACCCTCATGGCTAACATCAAACGCGCCTTTCGGGCTCTCGATGAACGCACTGTACTTTTAAAACCCGAGCTACGTACGGTTAGGCGGAACTAAAATTTGTCCATCATAGTGTCAGGAGATAATGTTGCATTAAGCAGCGAGATGGGCGCCGAGAAAGCCGCGATTTTGGTGTATGAGGCGTACTCTTGTTCTCCATCCTGGCTTGCACATTGGCACTGTGTCAATACATCTCAAAACGCCTGGTTTCCCGTGTGCGTTCTCGCAACAATATGAATGCAAAAAACTTAGTGCCATATAGAAAATGGGCGAGTCTCTCTGCTAGCAGCCAGTCCACTGAAAATGAAGATCACACATGAATGCAGATAGAGTGAAAAAACAATGAAATCACCACATAAGCACTGTATACCGATCGTTAACCAGTGAAGCCTAAACATCCAGAACCGGTGCAGGACTAGGTAACAACCGTGAAAGCACTAACCAATCCTAATAATGCATTATAAACACTAAGAAACACTTACTGTACTTCTCCATGATGATGATTGTGCGAAGCACAGTGTACAGTATGTGAAATATGCAAACTGTGATAAATGCAAGTCAGATGCCTGTGTAACCTCATCAAGAAATACAAAGACTAACGAATTGTGGGTATTAGCAGCTCCACTGGTTAACAATCCTTACGAAGCACTTTGGAGGCAATTTTTTTTTTTTTCATATTCTGTCAAGTTGATGGCCTGAGAGAGCTGCAATATGTATAAGACATGCTTCATGCAGCTAGGATTTTTCAACTTGAAACTTAAATTACCAGACCGGGATGCATGCTTCATACGGTTGGTGAAATTTAGCTCTCTCGCTAATACTCTCAATTGAATAACCACACTTAGTGATTCACTTGTAGTTGCAAGCATTGAATCGATAATGTTGCCACACACGTGCACAAAAAAGTAAACATTTACATCTAGACAGTGTGTGCTCATCACTAGTAAGCTTTAGGCATGTCTGTACATGAACACGCATATAACATACTAAAAAGCTTTTCTTTTGCTGTTGGTAAACGGTGGCCAATATTCTGTGCACTCTTGTGGTTAGTCAATAAACCACATTAAAAGCTCTACAATTAATACCAGGCTTATCTGTTGTTGAATCTAGATCTGAATATTGCAGATTTTGACAGAATGAAAAAAGATATAATCCCAAACAAATAGACAATTCACAGTCTTGCAATAGGTCAGTATGGAACATGCAATCAGTAGATTACTTGTGGCGAGTTAATTGTAGAAAATTTTGTGCTTAAAAGCATCAAGTTGCACTTTTTTATGCAGGCAACGCAACAACCTTGTTTTAGGCAGAACATGGAAACAAGTTTAGTTTATTGATCACATGTACACAACTTTGCACACCTCAGAAACAATTGTTGCCCCCCTCCCCCGCTCTTTTTTTTACTGGAAAACAATTGAAGAGCTCGACACCGCTCTAAACTTAGATTCACAAATTTTTAACAGGTGACAGTATGCCGTTTAAACAATAGATCTCAAGAACTATCAAGGTTGATACCAGGAAACTTAAAGTACTTGTACTATGCTTATGTGGAAAGAAAAAAGAAAGTTTACACAGTATGTAATAAGTATCTGAAAAAAATAATATTAGGTGCCATTGAATTTCGCAAAACCTCAAGAAAATAATTATGTTAAAGCACTGATCACGTGCCGTGTAGGTAATCTGTGATAGCCACGACGAGCTGCCTTCGTTGCCCCTGTTTACCTTAGCTTAAACCAATTAAAGGGCATGACGATAGTTGTAGCGCGAGAACAAAACGACGACACAGAGACAAGAAGGACACGAAAGACACGAGCGCTATAACGTGTCCTTTTGTCTCTGTGTCGTCGTTTCGTTCTCGTGCTATAACTATCGTCATGCCACACCAACTAGCCCAAGCTGCCACAATTAAAGGGGCCCTGAAACAGTTTCGACAATTTTTTACAGATACATTGGGCTGGTTGACCAAGTCCCAAGGGTTATTTAGAGACCCATTTGAGCTCTCTGCGTAAACCGTGCATTACAACGCTTTAAAACTGCGTATCGGTGCAGATCGTTGAGACCTGGCCGAACGCGTTTTCAACCGCCCATTAACAGAGCGACATGCTCTGGCCACTTGATGTTACTGTGGCTGCTGATCTGATTGGCTGCCATGGGCTGTAGAATGCGAAAAAGTAAGATCGGCTGGTAGGTTGCGACACCTGTCGGAGCAGATATTAACCACTCCGCGATCTTCGCTTCTGTTGCCAGACTGCGTGTGCATACTTTCCTAAATTTACACTAGAGGGAACTCTGGCACTAGTGCCTATAGGCGCTGCAACACATAGTGCTTACGCGAGCATGGGAATTATCGGTATGACATGGATTTGCCTAGTCTTCGTACTTTGCGTTCATTCTGGCTTGAAGTTGCGTTGTCACGAAACAAAATCGGCAAATGTTCGGCAGTTACGTTTCACCACATTCACCTGTGTTTATTTTGAATGCAAACAAGACTGCCACAAATTTCATTTACAATTTTATGTGCCCCACAAAGCCACCCCACATAGAAGTATCATAATTTGAGTTTTATCTCTAAATCACTCTTCCACAATGCCCATCATAATGAAAAAAAACTTGGCAAAGCAAGAAACAATGGCTAATGTCACTGCCTCAATGTTCCCGCAACTGCTGGCGGCAAAGCATAGGATTTTTTAAGGGCATTGTTAGCCATATATTAATAAAGATTATGTTGTACGCTGGAAAAGAAAAACTACTAACTCGAGTTTAAAAACTTTTGGTGGGCCACATCATTGAAAAACAAGTGCTTAAAGGGGCCCTGCAGCACTTTTTGAGCACTAGTTACAAAATGCTGCCGATCGGTAGTAGAGGCTCTCAACAACACACGAGCCAAATATCGTAGTGCAGCACACGGCCTGGAATTCACAATAAATTATCAAAGTAAGCTAAAAATTGCTTTTTCTTCCCTCGACAAATCACCCAATAAGCCCCAAAATCACTAGTAGCAAGCCCATCTATCAGCCATTGGCCGATTTGAACATAGCGTACCCCTAGTCGTTACAGAGATCGCCACAAAAGGCCGTCACTTGTCCACGCGTGTGCGCGCGATTGCACTGAAAGAGTTACGTATTCAATGAAAAAAATAATGCTCAAGGTCACAAGGTACGCGTGACGCTTTTTGTTTGCCCCTCCCATCTCTCCCTGCTTAGCTTCCACCGCTTTCGTGGGGACGAGAGAAGAGAGAACGCAATTGCAGCGTGTGACAAATCTTCGTAACTCCGCTCGCACTGGCCGGATTCTTAAAATTTTTGCAGCGATGTAATTTGTGAAGCAATACGCTTCTCCACTGCATTAATTCCATGGTTACTCAAAAACGTGTTTCAGGGCCCCTTTAAAGTATGGGCACAAATTTTTCAAAAAGTCAACACGTATGTTTCATTTTATCTTCTTACCAGTAACAGTTGTTTAGCAGAAAATCTGCATGAGAGTTTTAAAAGAATGCCATATCATTGAAAACTTGTCTCTCTCTAATGACCCCTAAAATGAACAAGAATGCAGTTGTAAAAACTGATTAGACACTGTTTTATGCAATAAATACAGTTATGCAAGGAAAATGACAGAAGAGAAAGCACACATATGTCAATGAAGTTTTTTTTTTACACAGCTGCCCTTGCGATGTACAGGTGACTGCAAAATTAACGAGACTTGACAAGTGTGGATCTATGCCCCGTTATGTTATGGAAAGCTTTTGATTTCATAAAAAAGCGGTGACAAATGCAAAAAAAAAAACAGTGATCAAAATACCGAATTCGAGAACACATGGCTTTAGCTCACCGAACCCTTCCGTTTTTCTCGCAAGTCTCGTGTCACAAAAAACTTTTGCGGCGAACTGTACTGCATAGGAATTTCAATTTATACAAGAGGCAACAAGACAGCATGGCAGTTCAGGTAAGTGAAACAAAAATACAGCTCTACAAATTAGTAACAAACAAAGCCAAGTGAAATATTAGCATTAGAAGAAAAATTCGGCTCAGGTGAAGTCGGTACAAAACATACTACTTCAGTATAGAACTGGCACTAACAATATGAAGAAGTAGAATAGGTGTGCTGATCCACACAACAGCGAAGAAATATATTGTTTAGGTCGATAAATTACACCATTATAGGTTTATTAATATATAAGAAAAACTTTAAGGCCGTTATTTGTTCCATAGGTTACAACGGCACTCCCATTAGGGGTTAGTAACTTCTCAGGATGCAATACAGTTCACTGCTGAACTGTCAGTCTTAGTTTTTCTTAAATTTCATGTCGAATCCTCACACGATGTCGGTGACAAAACGTGTTTTTTGAGTATCATTAACATTGGTTCAACAAAATTTCCTGAAACTTGCTATGTTGAGCATATGGCCCCCTCAGAGAACAATGTAGTTACTTGTTATCGATTAGGAGCTATGTAGGAAAAAGTAGATCCCGTCAAAATCAATGAAATCATGGTGTTTAATGCAAGGATTTCAGGTTGGCTTTACTACTCGCAAACCTTTTTTTTTTTTTTTTGCGTCTTTCCTTGTTTGCCAAGTATCTTCTTGCAGCAGGTGCAGAGATTTTGGAATTATGAAACGGTTGTAATGAGAAAAAATCTTTTTTCTTTAGGGTCCCTTTACGAAGCCAACAGCTTATTTGTATAAAGAATTAGCCCTTTCACGTTCTTGGACCCATGTGCAGACAGTGAAAGCATCAGCCGTTCAGCTCAGGATACTAGTATGGGGTGCCCTCATATTCATCAATCTTTAAAGAGGGAACGCAGCAGAAACACTGCTTTCTGTAAAGTCGTACCCATCTACAGATATAATTCCAAGTCTCTTTCCTCCAAGCAAAATGCAGCAACTGGCAAAATTTCATATGAAGAAAGACATGTTTTAGCATAGACAAGATTTATGTTTAAAATACAGTTGGGTGAAACACGCAAGGAAATCTATACAATTTTTTTAAAGGGACACTGAAAAAAAGATTTTTGTCATGCTTTCACAATTACGCAATCGCCTAGCTTATTGCGGAGAATGTCTGGCAAGTGTGAAAACGTACGAAAAGAAAATGCAGGTGGCGGCACGAGCTCGAAATTTCCACACATAATGCCACGACATTGTAGATTTTGACAGCATCTACTAGGTTGTACAGTTAAAAATCATTGTAAATAAAGTACTTTGTTCTCTGACGCGACATGCCTAAGTTTCCAAAAATTGTGCTCGATGTCACAAAAATATGAAAATTCACATGGAAATCTATGATGTCATGTGCAGAGGTTTAGGCGTGGAATTTATGAATGAAAATAACCTTTATTTTGTCCTCTATTAACAGAACTGTGATGATAAAATTAGTGACATTAAACTTACCAGAGTGCAACTTATCAATCTAAACCAATTCACTATTTCACTTTAGTGTGCCTTCCGAAACTGGGCTAACTTCAACCCTGTAACAGCATATGCGTAAGGACATCAGATGCTCATATATATGATGATAGACTCTCATCATACGCTCACAATCTTTCCTCAAAGTGTTGCCATGAAAACAGACCACAGAAACATTTCTGGAGCTACAATAGATTTTTCAGTTCCAGAGATTCCATGACGCAGATACTGCCAGTTTATGTAGTTGATGTCACAGCAGTGAGAAATTTAAGATTGTAGGGAACACATTAATGCGAATGCCTCACAAGTTTTTACGCATATGTAAAATATATGTACTAAGAGTGTATACACTAAATATGAAAATGATGTGGGCACTTTTGCACATATATAAATGTGTTCTATCCTGTATACCCTTTATACTCTGTCAGAATGCTATCACTCAACATTGTTTTTCTTCATCTTTCAACGATGACAGATAGTGGCATCATGTTACCTCATTCTAGACTTTATGGCTGACCAAATATTAATAGAGGCTCTCTTTCCAGCCCAGCAAGTTCGGCAGAACAGGAGCAGTGTGGACCCTCTCGCGACGGCAGTGCTATTGTTTGGACAAATGGCTCGTGCACCACTATGCTAATGGGGTAACAGCTACGTCCTGAAAACGCATAAAGGGGCTCTATCAATGCTGTCGCCAAGCGCTGCCCGTACGCGAATGAACGCTCATGCGCCTAGCAAGGTTTCAGAGTTACGCTCCCACCTCAGTAACTACGTGTGATGCCACTCAAACTGGAATATGGATCATCCAAACAGCAGGACGAACCAGGAAGTTATTCTCGTATGAGTACTCTGTGTAGAGCTAAGAGTGTCCTTGGCACAGAGCCAAGCAAGCAGTCTTTTCACAGAGCCAAGGATGCCGTTATGTAGAAAATGGCAATGTGTCTATATCAAATTTCGAAGTGTCGCACCAATTGCATTGCCAAAAGTGAAGAAAGGATACGGTCTATGGCTCATTTTTCTATGTGCACACGTAATAGCTATTTATATTACAGAATTATCTGCAATACTTACTCATAATTTGCACTGATAATTTCACAGGTTACGGACACTTGTCGGGTAACTTGCATTTCCCCGCGTACGCAGCATCCTTTTCCTCACAAATTACCGGCACGGCAAGTCAATATTGCTAGTAGTTCAAGTGGTTGGAGCATGACTGTGCAATTAAGAGGCGAAGCAACGTTTTCTTTAAGTACACGGTTTTATTTCTTTGGTTGCAAAAACTCGCTCGGTGAAAACTAAGCATTGTTCCTCGAAACTCTTCGATGCCACCGGGATTACCAGCGCTGCGACGCACCTATTTGTGGCATGTTTTTGGGCTAATATTCTCATAAAAAAAGCACAACCTTAATTCAATGTTCTTGAAATATATCACATGTACATGCTGTCAAAGTTTTTTCACAAAAGTTTCTTTAAAGAAGAATGACAAACTGGTAAATTTTATTTAAAAATTGCAAGTGCTATCATTAATGTCTAGTGCCTGCTATTAAACATAGCCAACTGAGGGAAGTCAAGTTAGTTTAATCACAAGCATGCCAAAGAGAGAAAACCAAGCTATGTGAATGAACAAGTAGATGAGCAACAATGTCACGTTGTGTCAGACCTGGTGTTAGCTCTAGTTCTTCGATGCTAGGGATACATCAAGCTTGATAAGGCAACATAAGGGCACCACAGGAGGCCCCTTTAAGCGATTTCATAGTTTGGCAAGTGGCTTTGAGTGCTGCATAAATGGTACCCACTTTTTTATGAGCTAAGCTGTAATAATTGCTTACGATATGTGACAGTTTTCGCAGTGCAGCTCTAACATATTCATGATGTGAACCTTTGTTCGAATACAATATGCCCAGTAAAGGATTTATTTATTTTTACAAAAATGCCAGTCATGCTACTGTAGCAGGTTTAACACAAGTTATGAGGTTCTAGTACCTGTGCAAGGAGCTAACGCATTCACGAAGTCAAAACGGGGTGCATACTGTCAACAGCACGTAACATTTCCGAATACTTCATTGATTGAAACCTATTGCAGTAACATGAAGTGCATTCTGTTCCAGCTTGTGTGAGATATTGATGTTAGCCCTCTGCTTCGCTTCTTCAACATCGTAATAAAACCACAACAAGAGATGTTATTATGCAAAGTACCATAAGGCTCGCATTCATTCTTTATCATACACTTCAGAAAAAAATAGATATTTTTCCAACAGCAGAGGCACTGTTTGGCTTGCAACAATGAGGTGTGGCACAAAAGCAAAGCACTTTGGGGAATTTTTTTTGCACCCCATAAGGCCGTAGATACCTTACATGAGGCACTATGCAGTGCATATTTGCCCCGATAGTTGAGCTTGGCCAAACAAATGCGATGTGCAGAATGAGCTAGGCCTAACATAGGCCCGAGCTAAGCTTAATATAGGCCTAAGCAAAACCTAAGATGAGTTGCCAGATTAACATGTGCTTTCAGTCGACATGTGCAGTCTAATGCCAGACAGTCGGCTTTGACGCTTGACAAAGGAAAAATGTGGGCTTAAAATCTCGCAAAACCAGCCCAAAAGTGTGGTGCCGTCTGCCTTTGTAGAGCAATCTTTGTTCTCACGAATAGCACCATCTTTCAGTTGCTGCTGCGAGGCTAAGTTGGCAGAAAAGGTACAATTTTCCGCAACAATAAACAATGCCTGCACTGAAGCATCAAAGGTTCTCAGTGAGCACACAACTATGCCATACGCTCTACAGAATGTAGTGAGAATCTAGTGCACACTTCTTCTCAAACCACCAAACTCTCTTGCTGAACTGCACTAATGGAACTTGCAATTTCAAAACAATATTCCCGTCAGATTGATTGATATGTGAGGCTTAACGCTCCAAAACCACCATATGATTATGAGAGACGTCGTAGTGAAGGGCTCCGGAAATTTTCATCACCTAGGGTTCTTTAACGTGCGCCCAAATCTGATTGATTGATTGATTGATATGTGGGGTTTAACGTCCCAAAACCACTATATGATTATGAGAGACGCCGTAGTGGAGGGCTCCGGAAATTTAGACCACCTGGGGTTCTTTAACGTGCACCCAAATCTGAGCACACGGGCCTACAACATTTCCGCCTCCATCGGAAATGCAGCCGCCGCAGCCGGGATTCGAACCCGCGCCCTGCGGGTCAGCAGCCAAGTACCTTAGCCACTAGACCACCGCGGCGGGGCAATGCGCCCAAATCTGAGCACGCAGGCCTACAGCATTTTTGTCTCCATCGAAAATGCAGCCGCCGCAGCCAATGTTCCGACCAAGTGACACAAATTTACTTTTTCAACATTCCAGCGAATGTTCACGGCCTTGTTTGGCTGTGCAAGACTGGTAATTTTTGACTACCACCGGTTAGCTGGTTCATGGTAAAACAACAATTTTGCAGCAATGTCTTATAGAGGCAGCTTCATTTTGGTGCACGAAATGATGCATCTGTCTCAAGCATGAAAAACCTATTCCTTTCATAGAAGTTTGCAACTATCCTAAATGCATGCAAGTTTGGAATGACGCAGGCGCTCGGGAGAAAAAAATGTGTTGTGGCTGTTGGAATTGCACCGGGACCAGTGGACAGCTAAGCTAACATTTACAACAGGCATCGGAGAAGTGGCGGGTGGATGCACAAGTACGACACAGGAGTAGTGGGAAAAAGAGAGAGAATGCATACTGCGTTTTTGTTAGGCTTAGGGTGCACTGACCATGTAAAGAACTTTGAATAGAGGGACATTCATGTGACAGGAAAGTGTCACAGACAGTTGCACAGCAATTTCAAAGCTTGCTTTAAACCTAGGGGTATTTCTTGAATAGCTCTGTACAAGAAATCTCACATCGCTTGAAGAAAATGGAGACAAAGAAACGACATACAACGGAAACTTGTGCACGGCATTGCTTTGCAAACTGAGAAGATATATTATGAAGCCTTAGACCTTTTGCGCGAAGGTGGTTGTGCACCTTTTTGGTCAAACACAGTAATTCAGTGCAACATGTTCCCTCGCAACTGCTGTAATGAAAAGGATACATATGATGAGAATTTATTAAATGATGTTAACTTGGCCTTTTTCACACCGTTAGAAAAAAGGCATCGTGCTTTGATGCATCACAAGAAGGGAAAGCGAAATCGTTTTTCCAGAATTTGGACAACCTGTGCACCGACTCAAGGAGAACGATAGGCGGGAATTTGCCACAAGCATGCACAACCGACAGATCGTTTAGAACACCTCGAGCCTAAACGGCTGGTCAGCTTGTGCTTCCTTCACCTCAGGGACTCCAGGAACTGCTGAGCGCACAGCTTCACCTTAACGGGGCAGTCTGTCGCCACCCACTTCTCGACAATCTGCGGGAGTTCGAGCGCCACTGCCAGGTCGCGGATCTCGGCGGTTCCCGTTCCTTCTACATTGCACAGTGTCCCAGCCGCTACGAGAAGCCGAAATTGCGCCTCGCCATCGGTCAACTCCGCCGCAACGGCGACCATTGTGGTGAGCAGCTGCACCATGCGTTCCGTGGCCTGCGGGTCGCAGACGGCCCCTTCGCGCAGGTGCGCCACGGCAAAGTTCAGCAGTAGCGTGGACATGGCGATCTGCGTGTTCTTGTTGGCCCCGCCTGCCCCGGCTCGTCGCTGGAGCGCGCCCAGTATACGCTCGCGCTCCTGCAGCGCCAGCGCCTCGCCGCTCGGCTGGGAGAAGAGGTTGCACAGGCAACGAAGGACTAGCATTTGGTTGGCCGCCGCGTTGCGGCCCGTGGACGACAGCAGGCCAATCAGGAGGCTGCACAGCTGTGCGCCGCTCATCTGGCAGACGCGGCTGTTCACCGCCTGGATTCGCAGAGCGAGCCTCAGTAGGTCCAGTGCCGGGAAGACGTAATCTGGGAAACACCCGCGTGTTGCATCGTTTAAAGCTCACTTTTCAATTTGTAGTGAATGTATAACTATGTATTCAGTATGTATAATTATGTTATACATCGGGCTCAAATATTATGGACAATGCACAATTTTGTTTTCCCTTTTCTCATAAATTTTCATATTTTAATGGGCCAATGAGGTATATCAACTAGATAAGAATTTTGGTGCAGATTAGACAAGAACAGAAAGAAGATGCACAGCAGCGTTTCCTTACGTCTTGAGTTCTGTTCACACAAAAAACATGTTTACATAGCTGGTTTGCGCACACTATTATGCCACTTGAAGGGGGAGGGGGAGTTCAGAACTCATGTTTATATTTAAGGTTGACTGCACTATGTTAAAGGAGTACCGACACAAAATTTCGTGGCCGAGATAGCCTGCGGGGTCTATTTCAGTGAACATACGTATAGTATAATCTGCAAAATAGGAACAGCGAGTATAGCTTGGGTGGTACTTTAAATTAATTTTGAAGTTTGCGTGAGTGCTCGACTCCCTCACGCCATTGACACCCTTGAAGGGGACCCTTTCGGGACCCCCTACTACTCTCATGTCACGATGCTGCAGTCAAAAAAGCAAGTTACGATGATGTAATAGCCACCTTTTTTTTTTTCCGCGTTTTTTCCCGCAGTCTGTACTTCTCGGTGGCTGGTCACGAGTGCGTGGCCGTGGCGCACGCCTAAAAAGTTTTGTGTGTGGCAACACTGGAGTCCCATTTCCCAGTCGAAAGTGATTCTTGATGTGGGCTGTGCGGTAGTGTGTCACAATTCTGTGTGCTGACGTGGTCTAGAGCTGCACAAGCTAAGGGGCAAAACTTCACCTGACGGCTTCTCAATTTTGGAGCTCTCTCAAACCGAAACTGAAACTGGTTGATAATGAGGGGCCTGTAATCAATTATTCGTTGTGTGCTGCAGCAAACGATGTGTCCTGTTATGACTCACAGGCCCGCAGCAACACATTCCAACAGAAAAACGCGAGGCCAAAGTTTTTGTGTCAGTACACCTTTAAGGGAGTTATGACAGCAAGGGAAAATGCCACTACTAATGCACGTTGTAGTAGTTTGAAGCTAATAGGTCATCATTTCTGAGGTAAGGAGAAACAATTTCTAAGGTGAGTTTAAACAATGATACGAAAAAGAAATACTGCTGCTTACGAGTGTTCTGGAAAAGCAATAATTTTTGTACATATGTCTCATTCCCAGGATGTCTGAAACTGCAACAAAATAGAGCCTCCAACCATAACTAGAACTGCTGCTACTGCTACTATGATTACTACTACTACTACTACTACTACTACTACTACTACTACTACTACTACTACTACTACTAGTACAACTACGATGACAACAGTAGCAGCTTAAGGCAGGCTAAGACAGATTTATTGTAGGAACAAAAACATTAAGGGACCCATTAAGTTTCGCCTTGAAGAGTTGAATGCGATAGCAATATCGCGTCCTCAGAGTGTACTTCAAACACTTAGTGCATGAAAACCTTTTGAACTTGCTAAGCACCCAATGCGTGGCCTTCAGAGAATAGGCGCAGCAATATGTGTGCATTTGTTATGGATGACCGGTTTTGAACCATGAAGCCATAATGATAATCACACGTACTAGCGCCCTATGACAATGTGCGCTTATACCACGCATTATTACTGCTTCATTTCAAGCTGTATTGTGAAGCATGCATGTAGACCATGAATGTTGCTTTCACGGCATTTCCAAGAAGAGGAAGTTATTTTCACCGTATTCACAAGCGCACGTGCAGATGTGTGGTAGAACATCAGCTTGCCTCACAAACTGCTTGCGTTTGACCCCCACTCAGAGCCAGAATTTTTATTGTTTATTTTATTTACATCTTTCTAGATTTTTCAGTCATGCACAAAATGATTTTTCGTTCACAAACACAGACACTGGAATTTCTGTTAAACGAGCTTTCTAACACTATTGCATTGGAAGCAAATCAGCAAGCAGAGAAAGTGTGGCAGACATTCTGCATACCTTCCGGCCAATGCACCACCCTGTCAAGGGCGCCTAGCTGGGCATCACCGGGCACTGCTGACGTGCTAGTAGCCAGCTCTATGAGGCTAGCCAAGTCGTTGTCGTCCACCGTGTGAGCGGGCGGAACCTGAGTGTTGAATTCCTGCAACTTGGTCTGGATCCCCTGAATGTTGGCGATGTCAAAGCGGACGAACGACGTGTGGGGAAAGAAGTGGCCGCCGACAGTCATGTCGCCCGCTGCATTGTCAACATCTGTAGAGTCACCTGGAAAAAAAGTCACAGTTTCGCCAAAAGGGCAAATCAATGAATGCAATAGCAACATATTCGAATGTTTTACGAAGCAAGGCTAGCATATTTAGGAGGAACATTAATTGTAGTAAACATGCGCTTGCTGAGTAACCAAGTTTTCTGTGGCATGGCCACAGTAGATGACCACAACAAGGCTCGTGCGAAGTGACGGCATTGATGAGAAGTCCTTCCCGTGGGCAGCGCATGCTGGTACTAAGGGCTATACGTCGTGTGTTGCCGCTGGTGGCAGTTTGTTATGTCAAGTGCAGTGGCAGGACTAACCACTAGGCCGAGTGCACTACAAATTCAACATGCCGAAATTGGAAATTGAAAGCCATCGATCACCGGTGACCTGTTTTAACCCTTTGAAACCCTATGTACACAATTGCATACACCACACATTTTTTTGTTGTTTGCATCAAGTAGAGGCTAAGAAACGAATGAATCGAACCTCCCACATAATAAACTTGCCTTCATTTAACTTCATTTTGCAGTGTACTGATACATATGATCATTTTTCTGAAGGCACTACTACCACGTTCGACGAGTCGCGCGATGTACCCCTTCCTGCAAGCAATGTGAAAAGCGGAATTTTTCCCTGTTCCAGATTGACATGACCAAAAATGAATTCGCACTGTATTCCTAGCCTGAGGTTTGATTCTGTTTATGCCAAAAATAATCATCGACGAGTTCAGTATAAAAAAATATTTAATTGCAGATTAATTAGTACTAATTATTCTAACACAAATTCAACATTATGTCATTATTATTGCATCAGGGTAATGAGTGCCCTAAAGTAATGCTGTAGTGATTTGACACATTTACAGACAGTTCTTCATAGGTGGCATCTGCAAGGGTTAAGGGGGGGGGGGACGGCTTTGGTATTGCAAAAAATGGCAAAAAATTGATTCCTTTTTAAAATCAAGTTTTCAGTTTCTGGAACCCTTTTTCTATCCGATTCCAAAATATCTACACTGAAAACCGCGCACAAGTGCTTTGTAAAATTCGCTTCACCCTCCTCTGTAACGAAAGTTTTTCTGGAAATGACGAGAAAATATCGATCTAAAAAAAATTATAGCTTCGCGAGGACGCGGCCAGTAGCCGTCTTCCTGGGCTCATCGGAAAGAGCGTTTTTCCATGTTCGAATTTACCACCTCAGCTGGCTCCTTTCTTCAAAAACAAGTGCACAAAAAGCAAGTATTTGAAGGTCGTTTCGAAGCCCTTGATTGGCTGTGGCCACCATGTTGCCCCAGCTCGCCTAGACGTTGGTCCGATGCTCGCTCCGGGAGATCGTCGTCTGCTGCTTGTGCGTCGCGAAGACATGGCTGTCGAAAATCGCTACCTCGTGACGTGTTCACGGCTCGACGATCACTTAGGATATAATTACGCTGTAGTTAGGAGCTGTAAGGGGATGCACGATCATATTACTAGAAGCGGGCGGGGGATCTACGAGCGCGGGGCGTCATCGGAGCCGTTTTAGGCCTAACTCCGCTTACGACGAGACGAACTTTGCGGGCAAGAATGCTGCGCTAGAGCACTCGCGGCAATGTGCTTTTTCGCAAGCAGCGAAGCACATCACTTGCTAGCTCCTCAGAACCACAGAAAAGCGTTTTACGCATCTCTGCAGCAGACCCCACTGTCAAGCTCATCAACTTGCCCCCCCCCCCCCCCCCACCCTCTTCCACTGCCAAGGATTGCTCGCTCGGAACAGCGGCTAGCATTTTCGCGTGTCGGCAATCGAAAATGCGATAACAGGTGCAGTGCGCGCCAGTTTTTTGTAATTTTAGGTACACATTTCGCACATCGTTACCGAACACCACCGGCAAGTGCATCACGCACCAGCTGCGCTGTCCACGCGGCCGCACACTTCATGGTCATATGGAGGGCGTCAATAAGCTTTTGTGATGCAATTTAGATGTGCTTGGAGCCTTTCCTGGTATCGCCGCAAGCGTTTATGAATGTTCTGAGACAATAAAAGCCTTGTAGATTAGAGTTTCCGCGACCGGCAGTGTGATGATGCGTTTAACAGCTAGAGTGGCAAAAGAGCATGCATGAAGCAGGGGCACCAGTTTTTTATATGCCCGACTCGCGTCAATAAATAAGCTGCTAAAATTGTGCCATCAGTTTTCTGCCCATAACTGTTACTCATTTGGAAAGGAGGAGTAGGCTGTCATGGTGTGAGCCATTTTTCTTATGCAATAAACTTCTCTCGATAAAAAAATGTTCAGTGATTATTTGTAATCAAGAGGTACCTAATTATGCTAATGACAGCTTGAACACAAGAAAAACGTCCAATACTTTCAGTATATGGCCTTATTCAATTACAATCTATTCTGTCATGGCTACTATCACACCACTCCTTCATACAGCGAACTTGGTGTAAAATCCATACTTCTTCTTTGTAGATAAAAAAGGTTATGAAAAAAATTATATAGGCAACAAAGGCACACTGGGCAGAAGCCACATGCCTGAGAAGTCAAATATCACAAGACAAACCTAAGATCACAATTTTTAGGTGTTTTAGAGACGTGAAGAGAAGGTGAAACTTCAAACGCAGTTTTCGCAATACTGTTTTTTTGGCATTATGCTCAGCTCGTGGAGCAGATATCTCTGCAACCACTGCACAGATTTTGATTCCGTTTCTTTTGCAACGCTCCTTCAACAGTGCTTCAGGGGGCTGCAATCTTAGTTTTTCATTTTGCTCTCTGAAGAAGTTTTCGTAGTGTTTCTTGTTTGTAATGGTAGTGTGCTCATTGCAGTGTCGCTCGAGAAAATGTTAACTACAAAATTTAATGTTGCAAAAAAATTATTTTGAAAACGCAGCCCCCTTCAGCATGCATTTGGCTGTACGCTTCATAATTACCAACTATTTTTGTCACTTTATAAATCCACCAGCCCCTCCACGAGGTTCAATGAAAAAATAAATTGTATCTCATTAAGTTTTTATGCTATCACCCCGAAACTTTTATGGAAGCACAGCGAGGCCATTTTTAGTGTACGCGCCAATTTTCATCAACATCTAGCAAGACACAAAAAAGTTTGTTTCGAAAGGCACGTCCTCCCTGGTAATGAAAGAGTAAACTGGGCCCTGTAATGCTTTTGCTACTAATCAACAGTTGGCCCCACTAAAGGAGTTTACGTGCAAGTGGAGTTACATGGCTTTGTTGCACTCTTTAGTCATATCCTCCTTTTGTATTAAGTGTGCTGAAAGTTGTGCAGGGAGGTACGACAGGGGGGCAATAAGCCATGTACGTTTGTCAGCACGCATTGTGACCTTCAGCTCATTCTAATTTTTATCTTCAAATGCACACATTGCTCGCAGAGTGATTATGACAGTGTACACGTCGCGGCATCCTGCGGCGGTCACGGTAACTGTACGCAGGTCGCGATCAAATCGGCCAATGGCCATTGACTGTTTGTGGCATGGACGTCTGGGCTAAACCTTTATCGAGTCAGGGAACTTTTGACCGATGACTAGACAAAGGACGTCACATATAGTCAGCGGGACTTTTGTCTGCCTAGTTGACAAAGGTTGCCACGTGCAGTCAGCAGACATTTGTCTGCTGACTACAGTGAACTTTTGTCCGCTGACTTGACAAATGCCACATGTAGTCTGTGGACTCCGTGTCCCCTAACCTGACAAAGGATGCCACATGCAGTCAGCGGACTTTCGTCCGCTGACTTGACAAAAGATGCAACAAGTAATTGGTGTACTTTTGCGCGGTGACTTGAGAAGGGACGCCACACGTAGTCTGTGGACTTTATTCCGCCGACTTGACAATAGATGCCAAATGTAGTCAGTGGGCTATTGTCGACTGACTACACGTGACTTTTGGCTGCTGACATGAGACTTTAGTTTGCTAACTACATCAGACTTTTGTTCGCCAGCTACATGTGCACCATCAACCAGCCATGTGCTCTCCCCTCTCTGCTGCTCCTAAGGTGAGAAAGGCATCGAGGTGCACCCTCTCCCCTGCTGTTTCCCTACTGCCTGGAGATGTGCAGCACCCCTTTGGCGACCACTCGCTGGCATTGGACGAGTATTGAAAATGCATTCCGAAAACCCCCGCGCAGTTCAGCCCACAACGACCAGGAGAAGTTGAAATTTTCCGCATGGGTTTTCTTTGCTGTAACAGTGAAATTGCGGATAAACACGGTTCATTACATTCAGGTAAGGAAAAAAACTCATGGTGCTCTATGTACAAACGGCCAAGTATTAAGGGGAGATGCTACTCGAAGACACTTTTTTTTAATATTCACCCTAGAGCAATGAAACTTGAGCTGTTTATAGAACTTTTATTGCTGATTTCAAATATATAATTAGTTTTCTTGCAAGTTACACACTTTTAGCTCTGCAACATGACAAAGTAGAAACCTTACCCATTTTGCCCCCCTTTTTTTCATCCCTAAACTTCTGTAATTTTTTACCATTCATAGTTCATAATTCTTCAAATAAAACGTAGAAAGCAAATAACTAATTAGGAAGCGCATACAAAATATGTAATACACATGAAAAATAATAGACGTAGAAAGTCAATATTTCACCTACCCTAGTAAAGGTAAAGGTATACATACAAGTTTTTTTATTATACAATAAAATATTGAAATTTAAACTAGACAATTGCATTTATGATACTTTGGAAAAAGTTCGGGCGAAATTTCATGCAGATCCGAGCACTATAAGTGCCAGAAAAAGGAGGGGCACATTGGAAAAAATGGCAGAATTTGTGTTTTGAGAAAAAACCAGTTTTAAAGTTAAAATGGACTTTTTATTTATGAAAGACATCATTAAATCAGATGAAATTCGCACACCAAAAAGAACAATCCTTCTTGTAGTGGCCACTGCGACTAAAATACGCCAGCACCATGAGTTAGCCCCTCTCGGCTTTTTTGAGCCGACTCCTCACAGACATTTCGGTCACAGACAGGGCCATAAAACGCTTGCCAAACTTCCACTCCATCTGGCAGAGCCTTGTGCCAACTGCAAGCTAGGAAGAAGTTCGACAGGACTGCGAAATACAAACTAAGTCCAGTGTCATGCCATTTTGCAGCCATGTTTGTGTACATAATGGCAATGTCGTCCCTGCTAAGTTCTCTCACTGCGAGCTCTTTTGACCTCTCAAGATTGGCGCTGACGTCATCCATTGCCGCATCACGAACTTTCCGGCTGATGGGTGTGAATGAGTTTTGATGCATTGGCTTTTGCAAGCCAACAACTGCCGCAAATCGGACCAGCTGCTCATAGCCTATTGCTACAGAGCGCGCCGCCCAACGGCTTTCACTTGCGAGCAATGCCTTTTTTCATTCATAATGGAGATCATTACACGAGAAAAGCATTGTTCAGCTGCATTTCTCGAGAAGACATGGACCCCGCAAATAGGTTTCACAGTACATACAGGTTCGCAGTGGCCAATGGCAGTCCCTGATTCGTACCGTGTGATAAGCCAGTCGCGGCGCTCGATAAACGCACAGAAGAGTGCTTCGTTTTATTATTTCTTGTGCTGCATCAGCGAGAGAAACTGTTGTTATTTGAAGAGTGAGGTTTGACTCTTCGACTCATGCGATCAACCATGGCTAGCGGCGGCGCATTATCGGCGGCAAGGTGCTCGAAGACTGCACACTTTGAACCTTTTAACAGGCACCTTGTGCTCCTTAGATGCAATTTTAAAGCGTTTCCAGTTAAGTCTGGACCTGTATTATTTTTTTCATAACAGTAGAGGTATTAATCTTATCAAAACAGGCAAAAATAAAAAAATCAGTATTTTGAAAAAAAAAAAAAAAAACTCCCGTTTTTCGACTCGCATTTCCCCTTAAACTTGAGGTTCAAGCCAAACTTGAAGTGAGATGAAGTGAATTTTTGTCATTGCCCAACAAACCTGCACAATAATTTAAAGAATTAGAACCACACTCGCATGAATTAAGCAAACAGCTTAGAATAGAAGGAGGATTTGAAGAACGGTAGGGTGCAAGCAGCTAGACCCATTGATTCACTACAATCAGCGAATATAAGCTAGCATAAGACGACTTCAAACTTTGACAAAAATAATTTGAGTGCAGATTATGCACATTTTATTTTACAGTGTGGCTTCACGACAGTTCAGACTTCTCCTAAAAAGATGGTTTCACAGCACAATTCCACTATACAGCGAAGCCACTTCACCAAGTCATTTCGGCTTTTTTTTTTTACTTGAAGTAATTCATAATCTATTAGTTCATTTCAAATACATAATCTATTAGTTCATTTCAAATACATTAAATTTCAAATTTTCTAAATTCAATATGAAGTGGATTTGAATCCTGTAATATTCACATGAATATTTGAAACGTTCAAAATATTCGCCCATGCCTAGTTCTAAGGGCAGAAGGTCAAAATTGACCATTTTGTCGCATCGACAATTCTTTTATGCTGGAGTTCATTATACTGAGATTTAAATGTCCTAAAATTACCATGAAGTAAACACCTGTCAGTAGTCCAACTTTATTGCTTTAATGAAGCACAAACACATGACAAGCATTAAGTTAATGGCAAACCTTTCCAAGTACTAGCTTGTCATTTATTTAAAAACTTTTCAGTTCTTTACGCTAGCAGAAGGGCGTTATGAAAACAAATGCTCATTTGTGCTAACCTGGTTGCCGTGATGCTTGTTGCGCAGGCTGGGGCTTCGCTGAAGTTCCTGGAATATACCTTGAGCCACCTGAAAATTTCGAAATAAAGTCTAATGCTTCATGCCTTTAGGTCGGCACGAAAATGTGTAGCTCGCTCAGACCCACTCGTGAAATACATTTCGTCCCAAGAATTCACACAAACTCTATCAAAACTTGATCAAACTTGATCAAAAGTTGATTGAAGCTTTAATACATCCTGCACCACAGGAACCTTGTTCACAATAAATTTGAAATATTGACAAATGCAATGTATGTAAATGTTTGTTGAGCTTTTATTGTTGTCGACATTTCTTCTGTTTGATAGCATTTGAGGGGGGACATGGAAATGGGATTGATTGACTGATTGATTGGTATGTGGGGTTTAATGTTCCAAAATCACCATATATTTATGAGGGACGCCGCAATAGAGGGCTGAGGAAATTTCGACCACCTGGGGTTCTTTATCATGCACCCGATTCCAAACAGCATTCGCCTCCATCGAAAATGCAGCCGCCGCAGCCGGGACTTGATCCCGCGATTTGTGGGTCAGCAGCCAATTACCTTAGCCATTAGATGGCAATGAAAATGATTAATTTGGTAGATAAGTTCAACCGTTTTTTTTTTTTTGCAATCCTGAGACATTCTTTTTATGTCATGGTGAAGTATTAAACCAAAATAGGTAGTAGAAGGTCAAAAAACAGCATTTTGCTTTGTACAGTAATCAAGAACTGAGAAAATTGTGTTCTTAGAAATTTGAAATTCTTGCGAGCTTCCTTTGGCACAGTGCCACCATCTTGGCATCATCATAAAGAGGACAGATTGGAGCTCGAGACAGCCGCAAACCTGAATTTCTCTAATAAAAAATAAAACCAGTTCCCTTCCATTTTCTTAGCTTTGAGCTCCATTTATTAATGGCTCTATTTTCTCAGCATTCACTGTTTGAGCAGTTGCTGTCAGGTATCCCTATGCCTTCGCATAAGAAAAAAGATTTAACCACTGTGTTTTCTGCGCTTAGATCCAGAGACATTGGAGAGTGTGATAAAGCTGTCCATATTTGTCTGGACGTCACAGATTTTTTTTCATAATGAGCCTTATGTGAAAGTAGCAATTAAGACAGTATGTAGAGGGCATTTCAAAACTTTTTTTTTTGTGCTCATTTGAACATAAACTGACAGCTTTACAGAAGATAATGGGCCCTTGTGAATATTCTTATCTGATAATGTTGACAAACTTGTTGTTATTTATTAATTTTGTGATGATGATGAGAGTCCATTAAATGTAGTAACTAAAGAACTAAAGCACACAGCTTAAAACTGATTTTAGTTGTATCAGCACAACAAATTCCAAAATTTGTCATTTTCATGAATAACGAAGATACTTTTTATTGCCAATTCCCCTTTAATATAAAACACTAGTACGCTATGCCAAAGTGGTGACTCAATAAGTGGCTTCAAGTGACTTGCTCAAACATAATCGATTCTCAATGGTGCATAAAACTCAAAGGGGTTTCCGCAATAGCTTGATTCGCTTAAAATCCAAATTTAATAAGGCTGAAGAAATCTACAATTAACTCCCTCAAGTCAATAAAACAGAAATTGTATATTATTATGCCCAGTATAAATGACAATAAATTTGAATGAAACAGTAATATAAAAGCCAATTTTCTAGGGATGGGGAAATGGCAAATTTGAGGTTAAAAAGTGGATTCGAAGCAAATGGACAGTTGGTCGAAAAATTTCAAGCTAAATAGTTTGAATAGTAAATATCCAAAGTTATGAAGAAAATATGGATATTTGTCATGACGCAAGCTATATACACAATACAATTAACATGCTAGAGTAAACATCAAGTTCTTGTTTCAAAGCAAAGTGGAATAAACTTTGAACAGAAGCAGGATGTGAATAGATGTAGGATACAAGTCGTAAGCGTTTGCTTTACTTAGTGCATACGAGCCCGTAAAACATGCATTAAACATAAAATCAGGCTGCTGATTACGATATGCAATCATAATCACGTGAAAAAGGGGTCTCACAGTCTAACAGCTGAACACTACAGTGAAAGCATCTTTTCAGGGCAGTTGCATGAGGTAAAAAGAACATGTTTGTTTGTTTCAAATGCTATAACAATCATTTGAGTCTTTGAAGCACTCAAATACTCGCTCTTGCCCGTTAATTTGAAAATCGATTTTGTTGACCCTGAAAGCGAGCAACCACATATATTTCGATGCTATTCCGACAATGCGCATAAGATGAAACTTCAAAGAGAACGCACATCCAATGTACTGTAGTACTGCTCCATGTGAATGAAGTCAATGTATTCATTCTGCCACTGCGGGCTACGATCGAAATCCTAAGAGGTTGCTCATAGCAGTACAAATCAAATAATATGCATGCTCACTGAACCATTTGCTCAAGCCTAAGATTTATTACGGCACTGTGCTAATTAAAAAAAGTGAACGATGTTTAAGTCTCATATTTATTAAGAGAAATGATTTTCTCATTCAGCTGGTGCACTTAGCTTTTCGGCAGATTGTGGTGGCTGCGATCAGCCACCACCACGGTGCCTACTAAAACAATATTTCAGTTCTTTCATAATGTTGCCATAGAAGTTCTTTTACGGTGATTATGGCAATAAATAAATAAATAAATAAATAAATAAATAATTTGTTTCACAAAGGTAAATCTCTTCATGCTTATTAAATTCTCAAGTACCAACGAAAAGTTAAAAGATAATCACATGTGAAAAATATTGATAAGCACAAACAATAATGATAAATATAGAGAAAGTAAAGCAAAGGGAAAGATAACTTGCTGCCAGCAGGGGCTAAAGCTGTATTGTCCAAATATTGCATGTTTGGGCACATTTTCATTTAATTACAGCGAAAGGTGTTACGAGATCAAAACCCTGGTAACGCGCGATGCAGTAGTTTTCTGCCGCGGCTGCCGGTGTCTGTAACCACTATTGCGAAATAAGAAAAAAAAACCTAGTACCAAGGACACAGTGGGGCTCAAACCCAGGTGCACTGCGTGCCAGCCCAGTATTCTAGCCCTGAGCCACGCTGGTGCTTGAGAATTGTTCGCAAACTCGCCATGGGCAGGCTTTATGTCGGGAAAGGAATTGCGTTAATATGAGTGACAAAGCATTTTAGAAAGCAAAAGAACAACGACATGTCACACAATACGAATAGTGTAACGAGTGGGTCGTCCAGTGCTCCAACCCATTACAAACGCTTGTTAACCTATTAACTTCAGGCATAATTCATCATCGTCGTCAGCCACTGCATGAACAATTCACACAAAATTCCTTGCAAGTGTTTAGCGGATACCACACTTCTCAGAAGAATGACGAAAAATAGCATAGTGAATGCCGGCCTACTACCCAAAAAATTTATTAATGCCTTAGTGGGTATCAAGCAAGTGTGCTTGCAGTAGTTATCCAATGAGTGTTTTGAAAACTCTCTGAAAGGCCACTCTTCTGCACAGGCGTGGAGTTTTTTTTTTAGTATCTTTCATATACTATACTTTTTGTTGGTACTTGAGACTTTCTTAGGCGTGAACAGATTTGCCTTAGTGTAATGAATGCCTGCACATATTTTTTTTTTGCTAAAAGTGCCATAACAGAAGCCTTATGGCAACATTACAAAAAAATGAAATATTGCTTTAGTAGTGATATGACTGTTTAAGTTGATAAGTCACCACAATCGGCTGCGAGTGAAATCGTGACGATTTATCTCTCCAGCTCGGCGCTGAAAGTGACCGATCTGAAACGACAAACTATAGCAGAAGACGGTGGCTTCGCTCCTTCCAGACACGACGTCACATGCATCATGACAAAACAGCAGTCGCCGGCAATAGGCGGGGTTTATGGCCGGTGACTTCAAGGGCTTGTCTTGCACCAAAATATTCTTTTACGAGCTTCCTTTCCATATCAATAGGCGTGAGAGACCTTTTACTTCTATCACTGAAAACCACAAATTGTCAGGTGACGTGACATGGCCCCCTAAGGGAAAACCGTTGCAACAGAGGTTCTCCAGCAGATGGACACTTGCCTGTGAAGGGATCCTGATATGTGCTAGGAACAGCATTTCCGATTACCATGCCCTTGGTGTTCTGAATAATGAAGTTCGCAATTTGGTCGAGGTAATACTGGTTCAGTTCGTGGCGGTGAATGAACTTCTGCGCGGCGTGCCACGGGTCCTCGGTCACATTGTACGGCAGCTTCATCTTCCCGCCGGTGTCCAAGTCAACGTCAAAGACATAGTCGTACTCCTGCATTGAAAGCACAGAGCCTTCTTAACTGGAGGAAACTGCAGTGCTACAGTGCTAAAATCATTCAGCTATAGAGTTTCATACAATAATTTCACAACTGCACCTAGACCCTAACATTCTTCGTTGGATTGAACAGTTTCTCACTAACCGTTCTCAGTCAGTCTTTGTTAATGGCCACCTATCTAACTCTCTCCCAGTCACATCAGGCGTTCCCCAAGGATCTGTCCTTGGTCCCCTTCTTTTCCTAATATATATTAACGACTTGCCCGACCATGTATCCTGCAGCATTCGCATGTTCGCGGACGACTGTGCCATTTATCACACTATTAGTAACCAGCATGATCAACTGTATCTCCAAACCAATCTTAACAATGTGTTTAATTGGTGTAACACATGGTTAATGACCCTTAATCCTTCTAAATGTAAACTCCTGTCCTTTTCTCGTCGTCATAGCCCATATCGTTTCCACTATTCTATCGTTAACACCGCAATTGAATCAGTACCATCTTATAAATATCTTGGAATAACCTTGTCTTATGATTTATCATGGCGTACCCACATCGCTAATGTAGTTTCAGCCTCTAATAAAGCACTTGGTTTCCTCAAACGCCATCTCCGCCTAGCCCCTCTACATGTAAAATTACTTGCGTACAAATCTTTAATCAGACCAAAATTAGAATATGCATCTGCCATATGGAGCCCACATCAAGCGTATTTAATCAAAGCATTAGAAGCGGTACAAAACCGTGCTGCCAGATTCATTCACTCATCTTACTCATACGATATCAGTATTTCATCTTTGAAAGCGAAATCTGGACTGCCACTCCTTTCTTTGCGCCGCCGCACTGCAACTCTCGTGCTTTATCACAAATTATTTCATTCTTCCCTCAATCAGCCACCTTGTATAGTAGCCGCAGCACACATATCTCATCGAACCAGTCATCCATTTCAGGTTTCCCGCCCATCTTCGCGCACCACTGCTTTTTCTGCCTCGTTCTTTTTTCGAGCAGCCACGGACTGGAACGGCCTCCCCCGGGACATCGCCAACATCACCTCATCATCTGCCTTTCAAGACCGTATTATTGATCATCTTCAATGCTAAAACAACTCTTACTGCTTATTGTTAACATAAATAAAACCCCACCCCTTATGTAATGCCCCTCCTAGAAAGGGGGGCCTTTAAGGTAATAAACTGAACTGAACTGAACTGAATACCTAGAGAGGAATCTGGCGCTGCGATCGTGTACCCCCATGAGAATGATGGGAAGTACAGGCTTCGGATTAGGTAGAGTAAGCAAGTGAAATGTCTACAGACCTTTTGCTACAGTTTCAGTTTCGTTCTTCGCGGAGCGCAGACAGTCGAGTGCGGCAGAACAGGCTGAAGCAGTGCCTTTCTTGCTCGAAGAGGCTAACGACCACTAGATCGCCTGATTTGCTGCGACATAGGAGCTTTGTGAGTCGCATTTCACAGTTTAAACGCAGTGTCGTCCACTCACCGCTGCGCCTAGATGTAGCGTCTCATGCCAGTGCGGGGTATTGCCTCGCGCTGATGTTTTTCCCGGGCGAGTCTTGCCTAAACTCATTTTAAATTGACTGCAAAGCAATGACGAAGCTAAGTAGACGCACCATCATGCTTCGCTGACTCGAATTCACAAGAAAACCAGAGGTGCGTTGTGGGCAGACCACTGGGACAGACGCACCTAGCATCGCAGAAGACGAAACGATACGTGTTTTTCACTTAATACTGTACTCTTATTTGCATTAATAGATAATGCGTACCTTTGAGAGAAAAACAAGCATGTTTCTTTTCAAGAGTTGTAAAAAATAATTCATTAAATCTTGATGCCAAATCTGGAACGCAACGGCAGAGCAATGCATACCCTGATGGTTATATTTTTCCATGTTTCATTTCTACGCCATGGTCACAAAAAATTTTTGCAATAAAATTTGCGTATAAAAGAATGAAGCAAGTTTTAATTTAATATTACTTCACATCATTTTGTTTTACACTCGGAAAAGAAGCGTTGCAAATTTCAAGAACCTTATCCATCCGAAGCAGATCCAAAGCCTGCACTTGCCATCATTCCCATGCGGGTACAAGCGCCGCTGAAGGAGCCCGCATAGACACTAGCGCCAGATTCCACTCTAGGTATTTTTGTATGAAACTCTATGCATTCAGCCAACCATGGGAATGATGCAAAGATTTGATTGCTCTTCGTGCTTACGATTTCAAAAACACTTGTGGTTTTGTTTGTTGTTCTGGCTTTTATTTCAAATAGAAGAATGACTCGTCATGAACTTCAAAAGCCCAGACAATTTTGGGAACAAGGTAACACTTATTTTAATCAAACCTATCAGAGTCACCCAAGTGAAAAAAAAAGTACCAACGCGAACTTGTTTCGTCAGCAAGTACAAGCCACACAATCAAAAATGCGTGTTCATAAGTATTTTGGTTTGGTTTGCGGCGCACCAGTCAATGCATTCCTACGCCTTCTTTATTTAAATAAACTGAACACAAGCTATTGCCGAGAGGGTAGAGATACACATGGCCAAAAAAACGAGCAGGAGAAAGCAGCGAACTGTTGCGCACAGCACAGCGTTCACAGGTTGCACAGAAACAATGTGATGTTGATAACTGACGAGTATTCATGAGGTGTGTATACAATTGTAGTGGGAAATACAACGGAACGCATTATGTTGCAAGGTCAACTTAGAAGTTTGACAGCCACATATCCTCTGCAACGAACACTTTTCGTGAACACCTACTACGGATTAAAAGAGCATGCCACCAGAGAATGCTAGCCCGACTACAAAAAGCAGCGCGCCTCTTGCGGCTGTTGTCTGGAGGAAGTTTTAAGCACGCAGGACTCTTAGCATTTCTGTTTTCTCAGCAATTTGTGGCAGCAGTGAGGTTTGCCAACTGTTTGGCGGAGTATCAATCAAGGAAAGTCAAATATTGTTTTGTCTGAAAGCTTCACTAATGACTGCGGCTAATCTCTGTGCCTTCATATGGAGATGCTAGCAAACGATTACTAAGTGCACCCTAACAAAAACCTAGCGGACGCGGCCAATACTTCCTGAGCACCAAGCATTTTGAATATCCCCTATGAAGCTGAATCAACTGAGAAGTTTTTAATGACCCCCAGAACACCTCCAGTAATTTTTTTTTTCACTTCAAATGAACATATTGAGTTCAGAAAAGTCAGACGATCAACAATGCCAAACGCAGGAGTGCCACGAGCCGCGGGTACCCCACACATCCGAGAAACAATCCCCCCTCCAGGCTTTTTCAGCGATCCTCGGGGGATTCACCGCGACAGTCAACATCCTCCTCTCCTCGTCATCCAAATAAGAACCCATTTGTCTGTCTGCAGCTCGCTGCTATTTCTCCTCCCACGTTCAGGAGGAGCACTCGACCAGGAGGAGACACAAGCAAACGAACAGAGCGTGACGAAGAAAATCGAAAGTGAGCAAGGGCCTCTTCTGCATTATCAAACACACTATGACAACACCATTCCATTCAACCTCTAGGGTATATGGGATCTTCAGGGTGGTCATGAACTCCCTCACACCCGATGAAAAAAACAAACACATCCAGTGGGTAGCAGACAATGCTATGCACATCTCAGGATCTTGCAGTAGTGCATAATAGAAGAGACCTTGTAACTGACTTTGATGAGTGTCATGACCTTCAGCACAACTGCTCATTCCTGTTATTATTGATCTTGCGCGAGTGTGGCTCATTGTGCAATGTTTGCATACTAGGGGGTACAGCTCGGGCATGTGATGGCACTTTGTGGCAAGAAGTGCATCTGATGAAAATGACCCACTCTATTTACTTTGGCTATTGATGAGTAAATAGCCATGCTACTCACGACACCATTTTCTCTAGCAGTCTTTTCACGCAGAGGCCCAAGCTCACTCTCTACCAAGCTGCTGGTTCCCACAGTTAGATGCCGAACCCCAGGTAGCATGCTATTGGTCGATAGGCTGACATAAATCAAGCTGTGGCATTTGGATCAGGACGCCCTTCTTGCCACAGACTGCCACCACAAGCCAATGCTGTACTCTCTATAGTCGGCAAACATTGCATAGTGGGCTCCACTAGTGCAGGAAAAATAACAGGAACGAGCAATTGCGATTTATCACAGGTGCCAAAGGTCGTGACACACCCGAAGTAACTTTTTTCCCTCTACCATTTTTGCCAGCGTAGCTTCCACAGTGCTTACAAGAAAAGAAAAAAAAAGAAGAAAAAAGAGTACATCTGTTTGACAGACGCCTGTAACTCTGCTCTTTCTCCACAGAATGAAGAAATTTTTACAGCAATCAACTTGTGAGTTAATAATCTCTGATACTAAACGCATTCAATGGTTACACTGAAGTCTCATTAAAACAAAGTTGCATCTTACAGCAAAATAAGTTTGTTATATTCGAAAACTTGTTATAAAAGTATATTCCGAACACTATATTACAAGACTGTTCTCAATTCACTTCGTTATAACCAATATTTCGTTATATCCTGGGTTCATTACATTGAGGTTCGAGTGTCCTTGCAAGGTGGTTGAAGACCTCCGACTGATCCAACCTCCGAATGTGCATGCGCAAACAAAGCAAAGTGGACCACCGACCTTTCCCTCGTACATGATCTTGCCGGCGGGAGCATCTGCGTTTGGTGTGCCCACGACGTCACCAATTTTCTGCCACGTATTGTCGGCTGCGACCCACTGGTATGCCGAGACCAGGTCTCCCTCTCGTATCAGTCTCGTGTGGCCGTCTCTATGACCTGCCGAGACAGTGCAACAAACAGACATTAGTGCGACAGTGCCCCCATCAGCTTGAATATGGCAGGAATAAGCAGGTAGAGAAGCATGGTAGAGAGTGAGAGAGAGATAGAGAAAAAGGAAGGCCAGGAGGTTAACCAAGAAACATGGTAACAACACATTCTGATCAGTTGGGTGGCAATCACATGCATTTCCTTGCGTGGAAAGATAATAATAGTTGGGGTTCAACGTCCCAAAACTACCACGTGATTATGAGAAATGCCGTAGTGGAGGGCTCTGAAAATCTCAATCACCTGGGTTTCTTTAACGTGCACTGAAATGTAGGCACATGGGCCTCAAGCGTTTTTGCCTCTGTCGAAAATGTGGTCGCCGTGGTCGACCTGCAAGTCAGCAGCCGAGTGCCTTAGTTACTAGAATACTGTGGTGGGTCGTTGTGTGGAAAGAAAAAGAGTGATGCAGTGCGTGAGGGCGCTCATACATAATGTAAGGTCGTTTTCAAGTCACGGTGCCCAGCTGTTGTACTTAGCTTAATTTCTGCGGAGCAAGAGATGGGCGCTGTGTTCTCGCAGTGCTGTGTTCACCCACCCCACAGGTGTTGGCTTGCGGGAGCAAGGTTAGGTGGGTGCAAGAATATGAGCACCTAGTCTTTTAGTGGCGGAGCTCCTGAAGTCACAAGTTTGTCCTTTTACTATGACTCGTTTGTGACAGTCTAGTTGATGGATGACTCAGCAGATGGCGCTAGTGTGAGTGACAGACAGTCAGACAGACAGATGGATTCTTGGTTTATCGATAAAGCCGTCTGAAGCTTCGCCCCGGTCATCATCATTCACTCCGTGAATATGTTGTGACTCTTTGGGGGGATTGGTGCACTCATGAACAGTAAGCTTGATTGCAGGTCTGGGGCTGATCAACATTGCAACACCACAGCTCATCCCCATGAGCTCTCGGGGTATGTTGAACGTTGGCAAGTTGCAATTCGTCATACATTGCGCCTGTTACATTGCCTGTGTTTTACTGCTGTTAATTGGGTTATTAGGCATGTTACTTCAACATCCATGTATTGGTTTTTACGAAGGCGTGTAATGTGTAAGTTTGCTTCAAAAGCATTTATATCTCAGTTGCACAGGCACTTTTGAAAGGGACATCAAAACACTATGTCAGTGATGACGAGCAAAATGAAAAAAAAAAAAATACCAGAGCAAAAGTGAGTGGAATGCCAGCAAAGCAGAGAAGCGGAATAAGAAACTGGAGGTGTGTGCGGGCACACCATATTAGAAGGCGGGCGCGTGCAGAAGAGAACAGCGTGACAAAGACGGTGGATGACTGCTGATGGAGCGGGAAGCCTGGTTCCTGCCCCAGCACTACAAGCTTGAGTTCACTTGAGTTCTTGCCTAGGTGGGTGGTCGGTTATTCCCTTGTCATCTACCTGACTGGCTGTGCAGCAAGTTGCCAGGATGGGTCTGCGCTTTCGCCGCCGACCTCAAACGAGCCTTGGCTAGCGCCTATTTGGTTGCCCTGCTAATGGTGCACGGGCTAGAGGAGCCTGGGACGGGCCTGGAGTGCTTCCTGGCCTTGTCTCAAGCAGCCAGAGAAGAGGGCTCTAGGCAATTTTAATCTTTTGCCGCTTTTTAACCGTTGACATTATACAGTACAACTTATCCTAGGGCAAGTTGGTACTTACTGAACCTCATATAACAGTGTGAGACTACAAAAGTAAAAGGCTGTCAGGGGAGGAAAGAAAGACAGCACTACAAAGAGCGCGCAGAACACTGGCCTCCCGCATATAGCCCCCCTCAAAATAACACAAGACCTAAGCCTTTTGGGTCAGCAGACAAGCATGACATATATATTATTTGAAACAACCACATCAGAGACTATCTAAGGCCCAATTGGAAAGAGGGACCCAAGGGATCAGGACAGTGCACGCAAATAGCCGATCCGAAAATGATGCCAGAAAGAGCATCACCTTTTTCAAAGAGGGCTTCCTTGCCGGGCAGTTCGTTGATTTTGAGGTCACCAATCTCCTGAGCTGGCAGTGCAAACTTGGCGACCGCCTCTGCGAATGCCGCCTGCTCTTCAGGCGGCGCCTGGAGCTCTTTGTGCCTCGTGAACACTCGAGCGACGCCGTCACTGTAAGCAAACGCACACAAGATATCTGAATACACTGCAAATCCGAGCAGAGCTGTAGCTCATTGTAACAAACATTGATATAGCAATTTACCAGTTATCGGTTTGGTGTGGTATATCATACAAACTTTGGTTGGTCACGCTTCATGTAAGTGACAATCTATAGTAAAACCAAAAACGTCAAGCTGACGCATTTCTCTGTAAGGATGAGATTTCTTCACACGAGGCACGAAAGGTAACACAAAAAGTAATCTAAATATTGAAATAAAGTTCACAACCATGTTTTCTAAGTGCAGCTGCAAAGCGCATCATCCTTCAAATAAGTGTGAACACAAGCCTGTTTTACAGCAGAGCCAGGTCAAGGTCTGCCCTGTATCACAGATAGAAATTATCAAGTAGTCACCAGCCATTAAAAAAAAGTCACCAATAGATATATATATATATATAAAAAAAGCACCTTTATTGGCCCAGCGGCCAGAACTTGTCAAAGCACATTTTCACACATGTGCGCCTATGAACGACCAATGTTGACACTGCATACAGCAGCATTTTATGGCTGTGGTGTGCACAGCACACCACAGCCATAAAATGCTGCTAAAAGCCATAAAAAGGCGAACGTACGTAGGTGGACAGTGACTGCGCAGCACACCACTGCAGTCACTGCACACCACTGCAGTCACTGTCCACCTACGCACGTTCGAGTACTCGACCAAAGACCTCATCGCTCAACTAGGCGGAAACTTGCAGGCAACTTCGGATTAAGGTTTACTGCTTTCCACCTGGTAAATAATCGCTTTTTTTTTTTTTGCCACCATCAGCATCCCGCAGTTGCCGCATTTTTTTGGTCTAAATGACACAGACGGAATGGGTGGTGTCGGAGTCATTTCAGCACATCAGGCCTCCTATTCCAAGCGAAAAACAAGAGCAAGACAGCAAGCGTAAGATGCAGATAAGGCTTAGTCACGGGGGGCATACGAGTGTTCGGTGACGAGATTACGTTCCTTTAATGGCTTAAATGGCGATGCCGCGAAGTTGTCCGAATAAAAAAACGTCCCAGTTTTTAGCGTCCAAAGAAGTTGGCAATTATACTGTTACATAATGCATGTCAGATACAGCAAACAAACGTTTGGTCCCAACACTACCTCGTTATAACAAGGTTAGATCGATTGCTTAAGCATCTCCATAGACGATCACAGAGTTCACATTTTCAAGCACAGGTGTTGCAGTGCTCCCAGTTCAAGTGTTTTTTTTTTTTTTCTGGGCACCGACTTGGTTTAAAACAATGGGTTTTCTAAACCAATTTGAGCAATGGTTATGGTTATGTTGAAAACTCGGCAACTTAGTGAATGTTAAGCTGCGATTTGCTCACAAATGTTCAACGTGCCATAACTTTGTTTGAATTGATGTAGAGCATATCTTTTTGTTGCACTGCACAAGATTATGATTGCCAATTATTGTGGCATGTTGATTTACTTTTACAACTTTCTCAGTTTATAAATAATATTCACCCAAAATGCCATCGAAATATTTCATATTATACAAACCACATGTTGTAATAGAAAAAAAAATTGCACACATTAGAGCCAGTACAAAGATATACACAAATTCAGCAAGTTTCCTTACATATCAATGAAAAAAATTGGCCCCCTATCTGCATGTTAATCTGCAAATGTCGTAGAAAGACGATAGTCTTGCGTCTGGAGAGATTAAACAAAACATTTATTTGATATTCTGCGCAGGAAAATCGGTGAATGGTATTCTGGAGGCGCTGCGTTAGAGTGCCTCGAGCTTGCAGCGGAGGCGAACGAGCGCACCAAGTCACGTCACACGTGATACATGAGCGCTATCTGGCAGTTGGAAAACGAAACGCGCGGCCCCGAGACGGGCATGTGTGCTTGTCTCAGAGGTGATAATGTGTAGAACGCAAGGCGACGGGGAGGTGCCACCACTGTCTCGTCTTAGCAAAGCATTGGGAGCAGTCCCCTTTTCGTGGAAGCGTTGCATGGTCAGCGCAGCGTGATAAACGCTACGGTCCTTAGAATAACTCATGCATCCCTTTTCTAGTAAAAGGCGCACATACAGAATATATACGTGTTGTTATGTTGCCTCAGATATGCGCAATAAGTGCTTTTTATTTGACAATCGCAAAAGTATGAATGCTGAATCTTGAGCAACATTGGTGGGCGTTTCAGATGGGTCGGCCCTTTGGGGTATCCGCTGGAGTCGTTTGAAGTGCCCAGTACCGTTTAGAGTGAACAAACAAATAGAGAGACAGGCAGACAAAAATTTTGGCGTCGAAGGTACCCAAGAAAGACTACCGCCTTTAAAATTCTTTAAAAACTGAAACATACGACATAAATTAAAAAATACAAATATCTTTATGCACGTTTCAAAAGCATTCTCACCTTGTGCCAGCAATGATGTCACCATTGGCCAGGCATGCCACTGACCACACCGAATGCGCTGGAAACGATATCGTTTGGATGCAGTCACCACCGCAAGCCCAGACACGCACAGTCCGGTCTTCGCCACCTGTGACAAACTCCTCCGTGCCACCGGGAGAGTCGGGAAGTGCACAGATCGAGTAAATGTAGTTTCCGTGTCCCGCGTACACGCGCAGGCACTCTCCGGTGGCCGTCCAGTGCCGTATGGTCTGGTCGTTGGAGGTCGAGAGAAATTCCATATTGGAAAGGATGGCTAGACCGCGGACGCAGTCTTCGTGACCTGCGACAACGCAGAAAGAGAAAAAGAAGGATGTTCAGGAGAAGGCCGGGGGGCGGAAAAAATGAGAAGTTGTCAAGCGAGGAGTTTCACTCAAGTTTAATTGCCTCAAGCTCACTTGGCGTTGAACATGGCAAGAGTTATTGAGCTAGGTATACAGTCAGACTCGATGATGTACTTCATGACCCACACGTTCACCAGACACTCTGCACATCCTTTATTCTCCGCGCCACATGCCCAACATGTCCGACTTTTTTCCTACCTTCGTCTCCCCCCTCCCATATTCCCGCACGCACACGTGCGCCCCCTTCTGTTCAGTTTTACACTCTCACCGTCTTGTTCCTCCACCGTCAACCACAAGAAGCCTCAGTGACCCGCGCCCAACACCTGTGCACTTCTTACTCCATCTCATCTCTACTAATACATAAAAACTAAGGGCCTGCGAATAATGAAATTTGATCTTGAATCAAACTAGAGTCAAAGAGTGCCAAATAGTGACAAAAAATATAGAGTATGAAACACGGGAAAAATTGGGGTACCCTTAAAGGGGTAATGACACAAAAATTTCGGCCTCCTGCTTTTTGGGAGCCTGTTTACTCATAACAAGAACACAGTTTTCTGCAGTGTGTGACAGATCATTAATTACAGACTTATTGTCAACCCGATTCAGTTTTCAGTTTTAAAAACAACAAGCCACCAGGCGCAATTATCACCGCCTAGCGTGTGTAACGCTTGACGATGTCAACACACAGGCCTATCACGCACTTTCGCGCAGTTCGCATAAAGAAGTTTTTTTGAACAGGAAACGGGACAGCAGTATCATCAAACATGACTTTCAGCTCGAGTTACGGCTACGGACTCACGAGCAGCTGCTGAGTAATAGTCTGCTGGAGCAAATGCAGCCAATGAAGAATAGTGACTACGATGTCGTCATAACCTGCTCCAGCGCAGTCCCGTGAGGGAATTGGGGGGTCCCCAAGGGTCCCCTTTGAAGGTACAAATAACGCGATGAATTCAATTGCTCACGGAAACTTCAAAATTTAAAAGAGCTTCCGAGCTATATTTGCTGATGATATTGTTACGTAAAAATAACCAGTTGTGTCATGGTACGAAAGATTGTATGCGAAGGTCACTTGAGGTAGCGCCGGGTCCCAGGCATGGCGGTCGGAGGACGCATAGGTACATTGCAAGCATGTCCGCGAGGGTGCGATTTAGGTGCCCGGTGAGGCCACTTGTTTGGGGATGGTAGAAAGTGGTCAACTTGTGCTGCGTCGAGAAAAAGTGCAGAAGATCGTCGATTTCTCGCGACAAAAATGCGTGGCCGCAATTCGTGAGTGACTGGTGAGGAGCGCCATGGTGTAGGATGACATTGTGGCGCAAAAAGTATGCAACGTCAATAGAGGTGCTGGTGGGGAGCACTCGAGTCATGGCATACATAGTCGGATAGTCTATAACAATGGCGACCCACTTGTTGCCGGATTTCGACACATGAAAAAGACTGATGTAGAGAGGAAGAAGATTATGTGCCGCAGTGAGTCACGCCTTTAGCGAGAGGAGCCGAGCGCGAGCTGTGGCCCCGAGCACTGAATTCTTGTGTCGGTTGCTCCTGCCCGCTTTCCGCATCAATAGACCTGCTGTGCAAATACTACTAGTAGCGCCAATAAACCCCGTTTCAGAGTGGTGGAGGTGGTGAAGATCTATACCAACCATATTTTGCAGATGACAAACTAATGTCCACAGGAATAGTATAGTTTTTCATGCAGATTTCAAATATGCAATCATTTTTTGTGTAGCTGCTATAATTATTGAGTTATGCCATAAACAATAGCAAAAAGTTACATTTTTTGTGGGCACTCTTTTATGTACTAAACTTTCAGTAAAAGCACTGTGTCTGATCTTATTTGACTCTTGGTAGATTGAAAAGTGCAAATATCTATATAGATATGTCACAGAAATATTGGAACCAAGAAAAAAAAATTGTATTGAATGACTTATTATTTTCAATCTCCCTTGAAACAATAAGCTAATATTTTCACAACTAATGCTGGTAGGCATTGCAATTTAGAGTAGATATTTGCATTCTGCATGTGTTGAAGAATATGTGTGCCAAGTTTCGTTACTATACAATGAATATAAGTTTCTAAAAGACTGCCCGGAAAACGTGAAACTGTCAGAAAAAATGAAAATGAGAAAAACAAGTTTGAAAGTTCGCAAAGTTGGCATTTATTAGGAAATCATTCTTTTTGCATCAAATTGGGGCACAATGAAAAGTACCTTGCCTTGAATGCACTGCAAGTGTCTAGAAGTCCCCTGCACCATAGCTTCGTCCTTCACGGCTCTTGCGGTCAGTGTCCTCAACACGAGCTCTCTTCGCTGTGTTGCGACGGTGTGCCCTCGCTTCTACAGTTTGCTTCAGGTTCATCTTCCTGATGCGCATGACGTCACAGTGGTCACCATGTGTGGCCAGATCTTGTGAGGGGAGAATTCCAATGCCTTCGAGCACTTCTTCAAAGCCCCTGTGGCCTTTGTTGTACCAGAGTACAGCAAGAGCGGTGGCTGTCTCCACAGTTGTTCTGGAGGCGAACTTTGTTTTTGGACATATCACTGGAGCAGCAATGAAAATACGATGCCCATACGACACTGTCCTTGTTGCTCGTGATGGCGATCTTGTAATATGTTTGTAGTTTTATTATTGTCGCATCTTTCAGTTTTTCGCCTCGTGGCAGTGGCGTTGCCAATTTCCGTAGGGCAGTTCCCAAGCGCTTTGCAACGTGGTTCGTGCACTCTTCTTTGTCAATGGGGGTGTCACAGTATACATTTGCCTCGCAGACTGCAGTGCCGATATCGTCTTGTTATTAGCCTTGCTGTCACCATCACTTAGGAAGCTGGTGAATCGCAGTGGAGTTTCATAAGACAAGGTCCTCTGCCATATATTGACAGCTGCCGCAGGTTCCATTGCATGGGATGAGCAGTCAGCGTTTTTTTTGGCAAACTGGAAGGTGAAAAGCTCGCCATATCTCTTCATCCTCCCCAAGGTCCCTGTGTATACTGCAAGCATGGTAGTAGTTCGAAAGAACTTCAAAATCGAGGCAGAGCCCCGTGTCCAGAGACACGACTGTGCCCACTCCATTGTGGCTTTTATGACCTCTTTTCTGCCAGGTGCCATCAAACATGACTGGCACATCTCTGCCGCCGACTGCGTCCTTCGTGATGTTTCGTGCCTGGTGCAAGTTCTTGCTCACTGCCGTCATCGCCGCACCATGGAGCTTCTTGCAAATACCGTTGAATGTCCTGTGATGCATCGGGCTCGGAAGACCGAGAATCGCACAAAATCGTGAAAGTTGGTCGTGGCCTGCGCCTATAGCGCGTGCTGCCAGAACTGCCTTCACGTTTACAGCAAAGCTGTCACGCGAGCTGCCGCTGTCAAAACGAGCGCTCGTTCCTTGGTCCCCGGCCGAAGCAGTACGTCTCGACGTGTGCGTGAACGAAAGTGCAGATTCAGGGCAATCAGAATTTTGACAGCACAGTTTGAGGAATGCCGAAAGTCCTTTGCGCTTTCCAGCTGCCTCTCGCACGCCGAGCTTCCGTTCGCGGCAGGTTGGGCATTGCGCACCCGCCACAAGTGCCGTCAGCGCATCGATTTCGCAAAGCAGCATGTTCGCAGTAGCAGCATCTACCGGTTTACGTTCACTCTCGAAGAATCCAATCTTCCTTTGGGATGCACTGACGAATTCCACGGCAGCGGCTATTTCACAACCACTGTCGCAGGGTTCGGTGACGGTGTTAGGCCTATCCGAAGTCGGAGCGTCGGGGCGTTGGTCGGGGGCGACATCGTCGTTCGCTGTCACTTTGCGAAGCGTCCGACGCCGTTTCCCTCGATACTTGTGGCGAGTTCTGAACTTTCGATTATCTGAACTGCACTTCTTCGGGCTTGCCATGACGCAAAAATGCAGAGAAACGCAGAAAAACTCGATCGCGACGTCCGAGGCTTCGCTCTTTTGCCGGAGAGATAGGAGGGGGAGGAGCGTGGAACGCACCGCCGTGCAATGGCGGCCTCGCGCTGTTGCCGCGATATTCAAAACGCGTGACGTACGCGTTGTTTTTCTCGTTTTTTTGTTTATTCTGCGTGAAGGCACGAGACTGGCTACTAGTGGATTATGAAGGATACGGCCTTCGCAGCATGCGTGCACGATTGCAAATGGCGGCCAACGCGTCGTTTTCGCGACAGGACGACGCGACTTTCGCGCATTTCTCGCGTCACCGCTGCCCACTTGGAAGCATTTTTTGATAATTTCTCGTGCGAATTTCAGCTTGATATTTTCAGAAGTAATAGATTATAGTCCAAGGATGCCAATACAGCCGGAAAAAAAAAAAAGCGAAAATTTTCCGGAAAACCGCGACTTTTCGACCCGCGTCTCCCCTTAAGAGCTGAATGCAATAAAGATATTCTGTCTCTAGTGTATACTTGAACCACTTGGTGCGTACATTTTGTTATACGATGTTACTTGAGAAATTTAAATTGTGGATTGCTACAATGTAATTGATAAAACTGAAAGTGGGTTGTGTAAGCGAAGCTTTTGCATACGGCTACATTCTGTGTAATGGTTAACATGCTTTATAAACCACAAGTAATGATGCACGTGAAATGTTTTCAAACTTGCTATGCACCATTTATAATGGAATACGCTCAGTAACGTGTGCGCCTGTTGTAAAAGGTGGCTGGCCCTAAACCACGAGATAGTTATGATAATCGCCTGTCCTGACGCTATATGGCGAGGTACACTTGTACCAAGCAGTATTACTGCTATATTACATGTATTGTGAAGCCTGTGTACAGGACGGGTGTGTTTGTAAGACATGCATGTTATCTTCATTGCATTTTCAAGCAGAAGTTTGTTTTAATTATTTTCAAGCAGGGACGTGGCTGTGTGGTAGGACATCGGCTTGCCACCCAAACGGCTCACTTTCAATCTTAGCTCGGACCCAATAGTTTTTATTATTTTATTAGCATTTTACTCAATTTTTTGGTCACAGACAAGATGATTTTTCGCTTACAACCAACGATGTCAACGCCGACACCGATGTCGGAATTCTCGAGACGAGTTTAACACTATCGTGTTAATATTTTGTTGAAAATTGAAAAAAAAAAAACTGTAACATCGTACTTCACGGTCAAAAGTGCTCTGGGCCAAAATTCTTAGGGTGCCTGTTCACAGCATCGTTTTAACCACACCTTGGATCGACATGAATTTCTTAACAAGCGGTACGGTGTGGCAGAGGTGGCTGCATAGCGTGACCAATTTTTCATATGCGAGGCCAATCAACGACGGTTCCGCGGGCCATAGTATGGAGATATTATGGCGCTTGCAGCATACGCGACTGAACTACGAAAGAAGCCCATGCCTTCGTTTCAAAAGTGAGTTTGTGGGGGGGTTGACAGTTTTTTCTGGTGCCCTTTATGTGTGCGATACAAATTGGTGTCAGTTTTAACGAAAAGGCATACTGTAACCATGTTATTGTTAGTTCTAGCCATTCCAACCCAACCAAGTGCACCCTAAGCCTTTGTTGTGTTTTCAATATTCGACCTATCAAATTAGTACTAATGAAGCACTCACAAGAAGAGTACAGCATCCTAATAGCTTTTTTTCTTTGCATTTTTGATATGATGCATTCATACACTTCAGTTCACGTCATGTTAGAAACTTTCAATACAAGTTATTCCAAAGTCGAATCAAATTATCCGATTATTACTATTCACTCTAAATTTGAAAACCCGAATAGTAGTCACACACTCCTGATCAAAACACTGCTAAAAAAAAGCAGTTGCCGCCCGTGACAAGCCTACTTATGGAAATGTTGACGCCCGCAAAATTCCTTGCCCCGTGAGTTCACATGAATGAAGAGGACAAGATTTACACAAGATGGAATAATTTACACAAGATGGAACAAACGTAACTATTAAACAAGATGGAATAATTTACACAAGATGGAACAAACCTAACTAGTGGGAATCCATTAAGTTATCAGTGAATAAGGAAAAATCTCCTAGCAAAAATCTGTTAAAAAATTTATTTCTTTGTTTACCATACTACAATGGCGACACGACAGTGACATTTGGAGGCATGCAGTAGTTACAGCGGAGCAACACACGGAAGAGAGCTTAGATGCTTCTCCTCTACTACAAGCACTGTCCCTTGCCACAACTAAACTCGAACCCCATTAAAACATAATTGAATCTTACATGAAAATAAGTTCGTTATAAAGGAATATTCCTAATGCTATATTGCAAGACTATTTTTCATTTACTTTGTTATAACCAATATTTCATCATATCCAGGTTTGTTATCTCGAGGTTTGAGTGTACTTGCCAGATTCTTGTGGCCCCTCAGAGCCAAACGCAGACTTTTCCCATTGGTGATGCGACGAAACAACTCACCGGTGAAGATCCGCTCGCATTTTCCAGCCCTCCACAGTCTCACGGTCTTGTCGGCCGATCCGGTGAGCATGATCCCCTGCTTGGGGAAAATTTGGACTGCCCATACTGTGTCCTGGTGGCCCTCGAGGGTCATCACGCACTTCTGGCCGTACCAGACACGTGCCGTCTTGTCCCAGGATCCACTGAGAAGCGTGCCAAACTGCCCTGCTGCCAGGGCACAGACTGCAAAGGTGGACAACTTGTTGTTATTGGTGTTCATTAATTTTTTTTATCTGTATAATGCAGTTTGTAACCACTCCCATGTGCAATTATTGCTTCGGCCCTTAGGATACAATAAATAGAATGAAGTAACATAACACAGCAGTACGTAATGGCAGGCGATCGCTTTCTTGCAACGTGGCTTGTGCACTGAACACACACATGCAAGCAAATACAAGTGTACTTGGTACATAACTGATGTTAAGTTTTTAAACTGGATTCCTTCTGCTATAACATAGCTAAAGAAACACCGAACAGAAAAAAAAATTTTTCTCATAGCATTTGTAAACTACACTTTCACATTTCAATATCAAGACGCTTGCCACGAGAATGCAGAAAAAAAAACCGGCGAAATTTAGCCTTATCAAGTCCACTGGAAAACTCGAGCCCCTCCAGCAACGTGAAATTGCAAGATATTTATGCTAACACAAGTATTACGCTGGAGCTTCGATGATTAGCCATTGGTGGAATATTTCGTGCCAAGAGCGATCGTGAGACCACAGAGGTCAATGAAAATTTATACCACACAATTTCCACTAAGTAATTGGGATGTGCAAAAATGATCCACAGCAAAATCCTAGTGTTCCGGCAAAAAACCAGTTCAGAGTCAAAGGAAACAATGCCAGTCTATGGGCCTTTCGCAGCACCCACTAATATCAAAACAATTACATAGTCTAAATTTTCTTTTAAACTGTTGTATCAGCTTTATCTCCTTAACCATTCATACCAAAGTTTCAAGAAAGCAATGTAAACATGTAACGTGCGGTTATCAAAATGACATCATTATGGCTGGACTTCCATCCAGATAAGAAATAAATATTGTGAGTGGATGCATATATTGTCAGTGGATGCAGAAAAATCAAGAATGAGATACCTAACACTATGGTGAATGTTATAAAAGACCATGTGCCACAAAACATAGCACGACAAACAAAAGAAGATGTATATGCATGCACTCTCAGTAGCAGTCTGATGCAAGCACTTTAAATATGGAATTTAAAATACGGGGGCATGCAAGGCACAAAAAATTTAGTGCCCATAAACAGCCTCTGTTAATACGTAGAACAAGTGCATTATTCTCTCCTCAGCACCTCCCGTCTTTGCAGCGAAATTCGCGACGTCGGCTGCTTGTTCACCCGACGTCAGAATGAAATAAGCTCTCGATTGATTGATATACGAGATATTTGTTGTCAATTACTGCCTACCTGGTTCTACCATCCAGTAGCTTGCCCGTTCTGCGTCGTCTCGCATGGCCGTCACGAGCGATAAGCCGATTGACTTCATTTTCTGCGTTTGCAACTGTGCAAGCGTAAATGGCAGCATGCAGTCGAAGAGCGCAAAATCACAACTGGCTAAACGCTTACCGCTGGCATTCCGCGTGTTTTCTGAGAAATAAGTGGGGAGGAGAAAATAGCACTTGTGGGATCGATAGCTAAGGTGAGACAATCTAATCTGTCGCCTTTGTACTCTGTGTAGTTTAGTGCATAATTTTCTAGAAATATACTAGATGGAACCCTGGCGCTAGTTTCTATGGGAGCTGCAACGCACGGTACTTAGGCGAGCATGAGAATAATGGGTAGTACGTGGATTTGTCTAATCTTTGTACTTCCGGCTCAGTTTGGCTTTGCGTGTCTTGGAGCTGCTTTGTCACAAGACGACAATTGACAAATGTTTAGCAATTGCTCGCCACCTTAACCTTTCACGCTCACCAATTCGAATTGAGTCGGGAAGTTCAAAATAGTTTGTCTTGCTCGAAACAATACCAAAACACTGCAATAAACAAAGCCACAAGTGTGTTCGGAGCCCGCAAGCACGAGGACTAGGCAAATGCATGCACTACCCAGCATTCTCATGGTTGCTGAACGATCCTAATACTAGCATCCCCTCTAGTTAATTATAGGCAACCGTGGCTTAGCGGCCCTTTAGGATATGGGGTAACGGAGGCCTAAACGACGTACCAGCTCCGCTATGTCCCAGCAGCTTGTACAAGGGCTGCGGTGAATCGGGGCTGAAACAGTAGATGCCGCAGTCATTGCTGCCCACCAAGATGAGGCCGGACGGGTATTGGTCCGAGGGCGGCACTGTGCACACGCTGGACACAAAATTGCTCGGCCCCATCAGGCACTGGCTTTCGTAATAGTCGTAGCGGCCCCTGCGAGAAAATAGAGCCCCTGACAGTCTAGTACGGCTGGTTCACAGTGTTTGCGCAACTCCGAACGAGCCACCCACAATACTCTCGGTGCAACTAGGCTTGGCCAAGGAGTTTGCTACAAAGATCATCAAGCGAAACGTGGCCTTCAGTGTCTCGCCTTGACGAGTTTAATAAATTACAACTGAAAGGCAGCAGAATGGGACCAAGAGCAAAACAGCAGTAGTGGACACTCCAATTTACATTAACCAGAAAAAAAAAAGAACCTGGGCCAAACATGTAGTACATTGGAGACAACCTGTGGTTGGTCAGAGCAACGAAATGGTTACCAGGGTATGAAAAAAAAGCAGTCAACGACGGCCGAGAGTTTGGTGGGGCGATGAAGTTAAAGAAGATCGTATGAATTAAGTAAAATCACTTGACGTAGAACACAGCGCATTGGCTGAATGAAATGTTTTATATATCTGACATCTTTCATACCTTAGTGCGGAGATGCCAGCTATGCCCCTGACCTAACTAGGCAACATGGACAGGCATTTGCTTACACACACACTTAAAAGTACCCTGATGGTTTTCAAATTTTGTAAAGGCTAATAATAATAATTGGTCCAAAAACCATGATACGATTATGAGCTCGAGTGTACACTGCATCCTCGGTATGTACTATCGGCGTCAAATGAAACTCAAACAGCGGCAAGCCTTCGCGATGGTATAGTCCGTGCCATCCACTTATCACCATGGACAAATACGCATATATGTGCAGAGCTGCCAAACGGGATGCGTGTCCCTGTCAATAGTGTTAACTGGACGGTGTGCACTGTACCATCGTGAAGACTTGTCGCTATTCGGGGTTTCATTTGACACTGATAGTACACTGACAATGCACACTATATGGGCCAATACCATGTCGCCTCATCTGACACGCAACCGCAATAGTGAGATCGAGCCCGTGACCTTTGAGTTGGCAGCCGATTACTGCAACCCCTGATCCACCATAGCAAACGGTAAAATGTGTTCTGCTTGCATAAGTTGTATTTACCAAAGGATCAACAGGGGTGCAGAATAGAAGCTCGAAACCAGTCATATATGAAGATGTTTTTCCATTCATTGGAGCACTTGAACAGAGAGCCTAGTGATGCCGTGTTTTTTAATGTAATTTTTATGAGAGCGATTGTTATGTAAACAGTGCTGGCTATGTGAGTACACAAAACCGTGTGCACATGAGCACCGAATTCGCAACTATTTTAAACAAACACTTTTGAAGTGAGAATTTATTTGACTGCTGAAGCCGGTTGCATGTAATACAAAAGCCAAGCAATATGTAATCCCCAACCCAGAGTGAATTTTGATATCAATCCAAAGGCTAGCTAGCAAGTGCATAACTATCAACTGTAATGTATAATTCATGTATAGTAGTAGCCTAGTGCTCACAACATCTGTTGTTATGACTGGAGTGGGACATAGGCATCTAGCTTGGCAATCTGGTTACGATACGCAACAAGGACAATGCAACAGGCACCTGCGTGCAGGAAATGCACACATGGTCTGTTGTCTCGTGCATTTCCTGTGTCTGTGTGCTGAGATCCGCAAAGCTGTCTTGCACAATAATAGGCAGCACATATTTCATGCAGGCCACAGTGCCGGAAAATTTGCAATAAGAGAAATTCTATGAAACGAAAGCACAGTATTACGAGGCACGCATTAGTGGACATTGAAACATGGCTGACGCGACCGGGAATCGAAACCGAATCCTCAAGCTTAGCTGCACAGCACCTCAGCCGTTTAGCTGCCACAGTGATTTCAAACATCCAGCCTACACAAAATGCGTAGATATTTTTTATTTGCTTTCAATATTCCCCATCTCATTTGGAGACAAAGTGGTCATACCAATAATGTGAGCATAGAGCCGAATACACACATTCCAGAGTACAATGGAGTTCTCTACAAAGAAATGTTCTTTGTAATACAACATTAGCAGTGTGGTGGTTCGGGCTAGTTGCTATGACATGTCGATAGCCCTTCTTGTCCCTTTGTTATCGTTCTGCTTTCGCGCTATAACTGTCGTCACAACATTAACGTTTTGAATTCTATATCGCGAGCATTTCACACACAGCCACTCGGAACATAGCAGTGCAAAAAATCTCCGAACAGACTGAATGAATGATAAAATTTTAGTTTAAATTTCTCAGGCTGTCGAAGCTAAGGCTGTCAACAGCTGAAGGATATGCCACAATGCATCATATCAGGAAATGTCGTACCATGACTAAAATTTGATTGATTGATATGTGGGGCCCCAAAACCACCATATGATTATGAGAGACGCCGTGGTGAAGGGCTCCGGAAATTTCGACCACAACGGGTTCTTTAACGTGCACTCAAATCTGAGCACAGGGGCCTACAGTATTTTCGCCGCCTCCCTCAGTACCGTGACTTAATGTGAATTGCGCAGTATATATATATATATATATATATATATATATATATATATATACTTTTTGTTGCATCATTTGGTGCAGCCACTTACTCCAAATCAGTTGGACAACTCGTGTTCCCCAGAAAACTGAGTCAACTGTGACCGTGCAAAAACAAAGAACATCCAATGCCATTGAAGCAATACTGTTCAATGCAAAAGAACAAAACTGGCTATGAAAAATCGATGTGTTGTTGATCACTGCTAGAGTAAACAAGAGACGGCAAGCTCGGGCAAAATAAAGGACGGTTTTCAAAGGAATGATGATTGCCACGCTAGTTTTTTTAATATACGTTTTCTACCAGTCTCCTAAGTTTTTTTTTTTTTTTTCGGGACTGTGCGCCAGCATTTGCAAAGAAGGCGTGTTTTCTAGCTCAAGAGCAACCCGACATTCAATAGTGGGTCAATGCGCTCACGGCCGTCATCAAGGCCGACGGATCTGGGCTCCGCCAGGAATAGAATGCGAAAGTCGATAAAAACCGACGCGCTGCGTGGAATGGCATGGTTCGCGCATGTCAGAGGAGCCTTTTAACACCTACTTTACACATGACACCCCGAGAGTTTGGGTCATTTTAGGTGTTTCTTACGCGAACGGCACCTATTATAAACTTTCCCCTGGGGGTGTTAAAAAAAACTCGTACCCCGCTACACCGCTTAGAACGTGAAATCTAATCGTCCTTAACGAAGCATGGCTAGAATATGTAGCCACTCGCTTTCGCAAGAACATAAGCTTCGATATCATAGGCGGAACTGGCCGGAGTTTTTGACCAATTATAGAGTTTTTCGTGGCTACTCGCGCTCAGACGTCAGCAACGATTAAGTACGAATGACTAGTAGTAAGATGGATAAACGAACCAAAACAAAGGCGATTGCGATAAACTACATGTCTGTCTTTTTTATTGCAGTATCCGCGTAAACTAAAAAGTAAACTAGTACAGTTGCGCGAACACGTTAAAAAAGAGCGAAAAACTGTCGCCGCCGGTTTACAAAGCTCCCAGGAGCCGGCAACGACGGCGAGTTCGTATCGTTGTCAATGACGTTGGTGGGTACGCACTCGTTTGGCAGCCATATCCGCGTCGTCCGGTCTCGCGAGCCAGTGACGATGGCACCTTCGGGTTTGTGCGCGGCCGCAACAGCCCTCACGTCCATCGAATGACCCAGCAAGGAGCATCGCAGCCGGTACGGCGTTGCCGCCATCTTTCTCTTGGGTTGTGGATGAATGAGTATTGGCCACTGCTTCTCTCAAGCTCAACCACGTCAGTTTCGTATTACCCAAACAACCCCCGTTTTAAAATTCTTGCTTAATTTTGTCAAGAAAATCAACCATACAACTAAAAAATAATTATACACGTTTAAATCAATTACCAAGTGAAATAAAAACAAGAGTTGACGTCACTTTAGGTTCCTACGTCAGTTACTATTTTACCGCTAATTTTACCGTTGTGTACTACAAGCTACATAACATTTTTGTTGAAAAACTTTTTACATTCTGTTCAAAGGCGAACAAACTGTGTACGAGCAATTAAAATTTAAAAAAAAACAAGATTGTGACGTTGAGTGACGTTGAGTTGCAGCGCAAAATTCAAACAAATTTTTTTACCCCCCTTTTTTGTGACTAACCCAGTTTCGGCCTGCTATAATTTGCAACACAATTGAATGAAATTTCGGGAATTCCAGATAAGTACTTATATGAACTTTAATAACTTTTTAGAAGCGATCTCGAGATCTGCAGTACTGAAGGCAGGAAACTTGAACGTTACCTTTCGAGCGTTTCGCTCAGAAGGGCTGGCCGGGTTTCGTTATCCAAGCCAAAAGTGTGCACAAACCACGACTTGGGCATAAGATAAGGTAACGGAAACACATAATATCCCCGTGATCACTGCCAACATGTCAAAACTCGAAACGTCTCGCGGAAACCCAACCGAAAAGATAAAAACGTGACGTCCACCTACGAGAAATGAGCCGTTTTCACGTTACGAAGGCCGAGCGTAGGCTCGGGGACCCTCACATCGTAGCAGTGGTCAGCTGCAGCTCTCACAGGATGCGTCGCAAAATTTCAGTGCGCGCAAGATGCAATTAAGGACGCAGTGAATGGGACAAACTAGAGGCGACATAGAAGCAGGGAACTACCAGACGTTTTTCTTTGTTCTTGTTCGCTTAGTCGACGTGTCCCTGCTCCAAATTGTTTGTTTGTAACCTAGAATCTGCGGCTCATACCCACTCTGGAGGATTGGCCAAGAAAACATATAGTCTCGTATGGACGATAACTGCACTATTGCTTACAAAAAAAAAAAAAAGGTAAAGGAAGACAGTATATTGAAGAAAAGAAAAAAAAAACAAAGATTAAGAGAGTGAGAGTAAAAACAACAAGAATGCAAACACTTATATAATAACTATACCTGGATTTTGGGAGCCGAACAGACAGCTGAGTTTGTCAAACCCAATTAATTTGGTATGTATGTCTCAGATTTATCTACATTTCAAAAATTACTGATGATGATGATGATAATGATGATGATGATGATTCCACAGCCATGGCTCGTACACACTCAGGGGATCGGCCAAGAATCGATGACTTAATTCAGTAAGATTTTTTAAATTCAATATCGAAACCACCCTCCTGAGAAAAAAGAAAAAAAAAGAAAACACACCCTAGGCAGAATGAAAGGAGTACAATAGTTGTCTGTCACTCGTTCAGATCAGACAATCATTCATTACCTTGAATAGGAGTCAGCATGGTTAAACAAAGCTCTCGTGTATGTTAGAATATTTTTGCAGGAATAATAATCACGCAATTAAAAGCTTAATTCTTTTACTTTCATTAAAATACTTGCAAACAGCACAGAAAACGTTCTCGTGGCTGAAGCCCAGATCGGGAGCACCGAAGGAAAGTGTATTTTCTATAGTGAAGTTCAGCCCCAGGCTAGCGAATGGGAGGACTAAGAGTGTTTTCCCGAGCAATTTGCATCGGCGACATGATAAAAAATAGTGCTATATTGTTTCTGATTCTGAACAAAAGTTGCTTCTCGACCCGCTTCTTTTTCTTCTTCTGCGCCGAACGTCTGCACACGTCAGTCAGCCGAGAGCCATGAACTGTGAGCCACGGACCATGTGCATGGACCACGGGACCTGATCTTGTTCTTGTTTACCTTCTGTGGCTCATGCCCACTGCGGGGGGTTGGCCAAGAATGGGGTGTTTTCATAAATCTTCATAAAACACACATTAGGGTCATTTATAGAGTAGCAATGTGATAAAATTGTACAGGAAACTTTTTTGTGCATGATGAGATGTACATTAAAATATAATTATAAAACAGTTTTTAGCAATTAAAAACAAATAGAGATGTGACAATGTTCGAGTTCCATACTCGAATTGAATAATGTCTAACGACCTAATTCGACTCGACTTTCGAATAACTGTAGTATTTGAAGGTTCAAATAATTGGAATTCTAGCTATTTGACAATAATGGCTAGAAACATACCTCCCCACTTACGGCTCACTCGGACTAACACTCACCGATGTCTTCCTCGATCGGACTCACTCACACTTTAGCTCCCCAAAACATTCGACTCACTCCCTTCGTCTAACTCAGACTCAGACTCACGGTTCTGAGTCAAGGTGAGTCGACTCGCGAGTCCGTTAGCGAGCTATTAGCTATTTTACCGAAGGTGTCAATGCTTTTTAACACCCAAATTTCGCATAATCGGTGGCCTAAATGGCGCCTTTGAACTCGCATTTTTAAAATACGAGTTATCAGTGCTTGCAATCTACTAAGGACATTTTTATTCGAAGTGACGACTGACACGAGATGTTTTTTTTAGCAAAAACTTCTTTTCGAGAAAGAAAGAAGGAGAGGGTCAAGGCAGCTCTGTATACTCACACGCATCAGTTCAATTAATATTGAGCTGGCGTATTAACGCTACGGCGTTGATGTGTGAATAGACATAATTGGTGTAAACGTGATCTGACATAACGTGATTGTATTGCTGAAGCTTAGTCGGCATAGACCGAGAGGCGGGCAAAACAATGCGGAGTTCACTCAGGCTTACTGGGCATGAAATATACGTCGCGCTTAGGACTCACTCGGGGTCACGTTCACTAAATTTTTTTTTTCTCAATCAGACTCACTTGTTCTCGAACTCGCCAAAATATTTCTCACTCAGACTCACGGCTAGATCAGAATTATTTTGTATATTTGTTGCTCTCCCATTCATTGGTGAGCTCTCGCAGTGCCCCGCCGCGTGGGTCTAGTGGCTAAGGTACTCAGCTGCTGACCCACAGGTCACGGGGTCGAATCCCGGTTGCGGTGGCTACACTTTTGATGGAGGTGAAAATGCTCTAGGCCCGTGTGCTCAGATTTGGGTGCACGTTAAAGAACCCCAGGTGGTCGAAATTTCCTGAGCCCTCCTCTACGGCGTCCCTCACAATCATACGGTGGTTTTGGGACGTTAAACCTCATAGACCAATCAATCAATCAATCAATCAATCAATCAATCAATCAATCATCAATCAATCAATCAATCAATCAATCAATCGATCGATCGATCGATCGATCGATCAATCAATCCAATCAATCAAAGCTCTCGCAGTGAAACTGATTTTCATAATGTTCAGGTGCGCTACAAGTTGTGCAACCATCTATCTCTAATAGCCCAAAATATGCAAGAGGTATTAACCCTCGTGATTGCTTTAGGACCCCGTTATCGTCAGAGCATGTAGCTTTTCACTGTTTTTGTTTCAACGACTGACAATTGCCAAAGCAACTTGTACCTAAGGCCGACCCATCTGTATATGTTGATCTGCCTCTCTGCAAGTAGACCTCTCTTTCTCTCTGGCGCCTCACAGCCAGAGAAGAAGGAAGACGACGACCCTGGGCTGTGCGAAGCTCAGGGTCCGGACCTGGGAATCGAGCCTTTCGGCCCAAATTCATGGCATAGTGTACGAGGGTGCCGCATCAGGTCTCTCACTAGGTTCCGTAGCTGTGTACAGTGCCTCTCGAAACCAATGGGAGCTACCAGGACGTCGCCGATGCCTTTGACACTCCGTAGTGGATTGCGGCCATGAACCAAGACAGTGACGGTTCGACCTACGCAACGGCAGCGAAGTATCAGACGTCGCAGAAACAGGAGGCGGGCGACTCGAAGCGCGAAAACGAAGACGACTTGCGTCCCACTCTGATCGGCGCGCGTCCTGTGGCCTCTGGCGGCTTCTCGACGTCGTCTGTGAGCGAGGAGTTTTTTAAGGTACGCTCCATGCACTCAGCGTATGGATATGTATGTACGTATATAGACGTCGACAGGATTTTGTTTAAGGGGGTGCATGACCCTGTTGCACCATGGCTGTGAGACGGGGAGGGGGGGGGGGGGCATTGGTACAGCTTGTCTTGGGTGGGGCAAATGCTGGTTGGGTAGATGCTAGTGGGGCTTAAGGGGGGCATATGCCCATTTTGCACTCCATACCGACAGGACATTTTGTGTACGGATCTATTTATAAATTTAGTGCGCCTTTAGCACTGAGCCGAAGACACGTTTGTTGGGGGAAACGCAGAGGTCAAGCCGACCAGCTTTCAAGCGGAACGAGTGCGAGCAGCAACAAACTTTTCCTTCTCTTCTTTCACTGGCGCTCCTGCCTGTGCCATATATCAATGCTACAAATCACCCCCCCCCCCCCCAGAAAAGGAGCCATCCTGGCGATCTATGAAGGGTGGTTTCAATTGATCGTCATGAACAGTCTCGACAATATAGTTAACCGGTGAGGACTGACGTAGGACTCGGTAGGGGCCTTCGTACTTCGGCAGTAGCTTGGTGGAAAGACCAGGAGCAGATGAAGAAACGCGAGTTTTGGCAGTGTTGAATAGCTTCCGCAACTGTTCGCTGGTCTTTCGCCACCAGCATGTGGAAGGCATCGTCTTCGATGCCCTTCGTAATATGTTTGACCTTGGCTGTTTGGGACATGTCGAGATTGTAGCGACGGCAGAGGCCCACAACGTCCTCGATGTAGGACGTGAAACGCTCTCCAGACAGTTGGGCGTGATCTCGCAAGCGCTGTTCTGCGCGGAGTTTGCACACTGTTGGTCGGCCAAACACGTCCACGAAGGTGGTCTTGAAAGCGGCCCAGTCAGTAAGCTCAGCTTTATTGTCGTTTAACCAGAGCTCCGCTACTCCTCTGAGGTAAAAGTGGACGCGACCAAGTTTG